TTTGTTGTTATCATTTAAAAAATCAATAGGTGGACAAGATCCTGACTTCAAATCAGTTGTTCCAAATTTCTTTTCTGATGAATTATAAGATTGTAAAAACTCAAGCATATTAAGACCAGGGTATTCTTGCAGTGTCATTAATTTCAATACTGTGGCTTCCACCTCAGGCATCACTTCACTAACTAGTAACTTGTCATCCTGAAAAAAACAATGAACAACAACAATTTTTAAGATGGCAATAATATAAATCAACTCAATTCTAGATTATTTTCACTGAAATTTTAAATTGTCAAATATAACAGACACCAACCTTTGATAAAGTAGCTAGGGTCTGTAATAAATCAAGCAAGAGAAACATCACTTTTAAAACATGTGGATGTTTCAGTTGATTTAGATAATTTCTGGCCACTCCAGCATTTACATCATTCCGTGTGCTTGCCTCATCTAGATGAATGCAGACAATATTTAGGTTGGATTTCAGTGCCATTAAAGCTCTACCTTGACTAGCAACCCATCGTACCTAAAATGTAAAGAAAGAAAACATGAAAAAAACTATACAGGTATTCTCAGTATTCTGAAAAAAAACCTTTCCAAGACAGTGGCCTAACGGATTTTTTTACATAAACTTTCTAAAAATACAGCATATTAATAAAGCTTAAACTTGCCTCTTTAACATCTGGAATGTTGGCTATATCTTCATCAATAACTTCTGAAATAGCCTCTATTTCTCTTCGTCTACGTTGATTCGTTCGTTTCTAAACTCGAACAATCTTTAATTAAAACGCATAAATTAGCCGCGATAAATTAAAGTAGCTAAGTCTCTAACTCAATATCATCCAAAATCTTCAACATTGAAAACACGATTTATTTGTCAAATTAAATCAACATTCATGTTGTGATCTTACCGGAAAAAGATGGGCTTTTGATATCCAATATTTAAGACAAAATAAACATTTTACCATTGGTACACGAATCGTGTACCATAATGCGCTTCAGCCCCAGTTGTATCAAGAGACTCGTGGGACGAGGCTAGACACATTGCACCAAATCAAACGGCGTATATAGACTGAAATAACCAAACGCTAGAAATTTGCAGTCCCTTGAGACTGCTGGCATATTTCGCCGAACATAACTGATTTGAAATTGGAGTAAAAACGGAAACCATTGAATGTAAATCATTTTATATACATTCATAATACAGTATTATATGCGTTGCGACCCAAATGTTAGCGATTTAGCTCCTTTAAATACGAGCCAAGATATCAATTACGCAGTTTATATTTTGAACACCGCTACTAAAACGGGGAAAAGTCGCAAATTTTCCCCCACATGGAAGGGCCCGGGAGTTATAACGCAAGTAATTACGCCGTATTTATTCCGAATCAAGACACGGAAAGGTGAAACGCTTTAAATCACGACCGCATAAAAGCTTGTCATGATAGGGAAGTGCCGTCGTGATTTTAAGACTCCGTAGAAGATCAGAAACTAGTATAAATCCGATTGATGCCGGAAATATCGATATTTATTGTATTTGCCGAAAACCCGATGACGGTCATCCTATGATATGCTGTGACCGATGTGAAGAGCGGTTCCATTACCGCTGTGTTACTATAGACCCGAGCAGGGCTCGAATTAGTGGGCGAAATAGTCGCCTAACCCATTGATGAATTTGCCCTAAAAGGCAATAGGGCGAAGTTGAAGTCGCCCTCACTTCGCCGTACATTTGTGCAAGGGCGAAGTAGGTAACAGGCATCGATATCAACGGTAAACAAAGCATTTTCAAAACAACACAACACGTGTTCGCATTGTGAGCTTCGAAAGGAAAACTGAAAATTAAACAAGTTGTGAAAAGCAAAACATGTATTAATATTTTGTTTTTCGACTTTCTCTGTGTTGGCTGTGATAATGTTTAATAGTTTCAATGATAAACATTGTATTTGATGTCAACAGGAAATACAATTCTTTCAAATAAAGCGAAGGAATCGAATCATAAATCTCCGTTACAACCTCTGGCTTCGTCCAGAAATAACAGCCAATCAAAAGCTGCGATGGCCAATATGGCGGCGGATACGATATTTTTCATGTATTTCTGTCTAAGAATAGACACAGTAGCCTACTGAATTGGTCCTCTTTCTTTGAAATAATTTAATAATAAAAAGAATAATAAACATGAAACTTGTGATTGAAAGGTAACGAAAGGTGTACATTGTTGTGTCAACATGGTACAGTCAATAAAGAACAACACATGTGACGAGTGAAAATAGCGTTGACGTACATTTCTGAAGACGAATGGAGATATTAAAACAATTGTTATCAGAATGATTACAACATGTATTTAGAATGTGTTGATAGGTATAATGTCGGGTCCATAATTAAATCTACGTCAATATAATTAAATCTACGTCAATTTTATTAGTTCCACTAATCTAAACACATAAACGTAAAACAAAGAAGGTAAGTGAGTGGTGTGTCAAAAGAATAATTTCATACATTGTCGTACTACGTAACAATATGACTATCCTATTGAAGGCTATTGTGAAAGGTGCTAAAGCAATCACACAATAGACCCAGGACTAGTAATTAAATGTATTTAGGCACGAAAGGGTATAAATATTGATGTATTTGATAGAGGGGTATCACAAATCTTATTTGTATTGCTAAAGTCAAGTCTGTCTTAGTACTAGTATATAGTATATATAATTTATTATCACAGTAATTTTGATACCAGTAAGAGTATGATGACATGTACTGAAATAAATATACGTGTGCAGCTAAACGATGTTTGTTTATTTATTTAGCATATTGACTGTGTAACGACTTGGTAAGATTGGTTGCAGCAATGCATGAAATATGACCTCTCCTTCAAGTCCCCCTTACTTCTCCCTATTCTGTCTGTAGGGAGAAGTTCTCCCTAAAATTTGTCCCTAGTTTGAGCCCTGGACCCGAGTACAGAATGGGACGATAAGGAATATTATTGTCCCAATTGTTCTCTGTAATTATCCGTCGTGACGTTTATATGTAAGAGGGGGTGGACTTAACTAATCCAGTTACTGTCTTTACCGCCATAACAGTAAAGGCAGTGCTAGCTTTTTATTTTTTAGGAAATGGATAAACAAGGTAGACGATCATGGGCTCCATACAATTCTGGGAGGCGTCGTCAAACTCCGAACAGACAGGGTTATCAAGTACCTATGGGGTTCCAGGATTTCACCCCAGCTCCGCAATTACCCACGCCAACTCCCGTGGCTCTGCCTTCGTTTGAGGATTTTTTCAAGGAAGGGATAGGGTCCATTCCCATTGTTTTGTCATCAGAGAGGCCAGTCTCCCCTCATCCCGTAACCACCAACCCATTATTCCTTGACTATACCCGGACCGGTGTGGTTCCCAGGCTTTCGCGTAGTCATCTAAATAGCCCTAGAGTAGTCAGGAGGACCCAGGGGAGGAATCAGACCTGCCCCTTGATTGGATGCGGTTACAGGGATCGCAAGATTAAATTTCATTGTCTCCGGAACCATCTTTCGGATTGTTTTTCAGACGAGTATTCTACCAGTAATGCCGTGGTTGGAAAAGAAAACAGAAAGTATTGCAGTCTTATGTAGGGTCTTGGGGGTGACGCCCCATTCAATCGGTGGAAGCTTTTATCGGACGAAAGTCAGATCCGAGAAAAGAGTATCCCGGCCTGAGCATTATGTGCTCCCTAAACCACTGGCCCCGGGTCGCCAGAATCTCCCTGAGACCATTAAATTCACCCGCCTGTCTGTCCTACTGGCAATGCATGATCATTATGTTGAACTACCTCGGCCCCACAGATCAAGGGGAATTTGTAAATTTTTTGAGAACCTCCAGGTTACCTACACTTAACTCCGGTCGAGAACTGGGATGACGAGGCGGTGGTATTTAATCCTTAGGGCCACTGGTGTACTTGTATACCGTTGATGAGTGGGAGTGAATGCCTGATTTAACAAAAAAGTATATAGAAGAAAAAAAAAGGAAACAAATGTGTATATAGAAGGGGGAAAATGAACAGTATATAAAAGAAAAAAAAGTGTATATAGAAGGGGAAAAATGAACAGTTTTTTTTTCAGATGTGCAGGTAGCACCTTTCTTCTTTAAATAAAAACGGAGAAGAGTGTTGTGATTTTACCGACCTGACCAACTTCCGGTATAAAATCTGAGACCCGACTGGATATCCGGGACTACGGACAACCCTCAACCCGAGTTCCCGTATTCCTACGCCGTCAATGGATCGGTCTTCAAACCTTCACAGAAATTATAGAGAGACTTAAAACGGTAAATACATTTTGGGGACTTGACTCGGCAGCCAAGTTGGCTGGAAAATTCTGAACTTTTTTTTAACATGGCGGATCTCCATAGACATCGTGGACTGTGAACTCTGTGACCCGTGAACTCTATTGAATTAGAACTGTCAACAAAGAAAAATGTCAGCTTGTTTATGTTTGTACTGTAACTCCTGTTTCTTGTATATGTTTATTTACAAAATTTATTTACATTAACATTACGAAGCCTTATCATTTCAAGTGTTATCCCGTGATTTGATTGACCGTTGTCCCACACCGAATAACACGTGTGGAGAGGGTCAACAGCTTCTCTTACTCAGCTAGATCAGGAGAGTAAGCTAGGTGAGGAAGTCTCCTTTGCAGCGCTCATGGCTACTAAGGCTCTGTTTACTGACGCAGTGAGTCGCTTTGCATGGCGATATTTATCTCGAGGGTTTTCTGTGATTTGATAACGTAACATTCATTATGTTGGAACCCTTTTTTAGATATTTTATTATGATTACGCCCTCGAAATGTACACTGCATGGCGTATGCCGATCTTTATTAACCCAACTAGAAAAAGTTAAATCCCATTTAGTTTACTTAAAACATGTCAATGAGCTTCGGGATGTTAAACGCACATAGAACATATTTCATTACCAGCCCCCCCCCCCCCACACACACCAGTCTCAAACAAATAACAACATCAAACAAATACAAGTATTACTTTATATATGTTATTTATTGGGTGGTCTAGCAAGCAGTTTCCGTGCAGACTATTGAGCCATCGCTTCGACACCCGCACGTGTTGCAGCCATCGGAGCCCGGGAACGAGTCGCCTAGATGGTAACTTGTACCGTTGTACATACAGTTAATGCACACGACATCCGTGCATGCCACACTTCTATCTGGGAGACATTGGCAAGTGTTACAGCCATCGGTAGCATTAAAGTTATCCCCTGGTTGGTAACGTGTACCGTTGTACAGACAATTGATGCAGGCAATTTCGGTGCATGGTACGGTTCCATTTTCCGAACACCAACAAGTGTTACAACCATCGGTAGCATTAAATTTGTCCCCTGGTTTGTAAAGTTTACCGTCGTACAGGCAGTTATTGCAAGCCATGTCTGTGCATTGTATGGTTCTTGATTCCAAACACATGCAATGATTACAACCATCGGTAGCTCTAAATATTTCCTTTGGTTGATAAAGAGTGCCGTCGTACAGACAGTCATCGCAATTGAATTTAGTGCAAGATACCGTTCCAACTTCCATACACCGACAAGTGTTACAACCATCTGTGGCTCGAAACAGTTCCCCTGCTTGGTAAGGTGTACCGCCATACCTACAGCATTTATAGTCACTACAATTTGTCGTTCCATCTCGGAGACATTGGCAAGTATTACAACCATCGGAAGCAGTAAATGTATCCCCAGGTCGGAGGGGACCACCCAAGTCGTTGTATCCGCAGAAATAGCAAAAGGTATCGGAACATGATACGCGTCCATGACTTACACACCAACAACTGTTACAATCATCTGGCGCTGGGAGCACATCTCCTTCGCGGTAAAGTGTACCGTTGTACGTACAACACACGAATTTGGTACACCAGGTTCCAGATTTCGTACAATGACACTCGTTACAATCATCGGTAGCATTAAATGCATTGATGTTCCATGATTGGTAAAGTGTTCCGTTGAACATACATTCACTGCAATTGAAATTGGTACAGGTAACGGTTCCAGATTCTGTACACCGACAACTGTTGCATTCATCATCAATAACCGGGAATACTACGTGTTGCTCATAAACTCCACCTTCATAAAAACACCTAGACACTGAAAACAATTTAAAAAAAACATACTGATAATTTTGAGAGATTCACTATGAACGATTGGTAGATATGGTAACTTGGCACCATGAAATGTTGATAAATATATATGGTAATCTGGCAACACGAAAGGTTGATGGTTGATTTGGTAACCTTGCAACATGAACGGGTTAACTGTAGATCCAATTTGTAACCCCCTTTGTTTCAATGAAAGACCTAACATTCTGAATAACCGTCTATGTAAAGCCCCAGTTTGGTCAATAAAAAGACCAAATAAATCAATTTGTAGAGCAGTTTGGTTCGAAATTATTCACATTGATTTGCGACGGCCAAAGCAATTCGGCTGTTTAAGGATATATTAGTTAAGAGTTTAATAAAGGGTTAGCCGTTCTTGCTATAATAATTCAAAAATAGATGATACAAACAGAACATATTGAAAATTTCAGTCAAATTACTTTATTCAGAACGGTAGTTTGGATTAGAAATCGGCATCAGCTATCTCCGTCCCAAAGAATTATGCCCTACCGATCATTTGATTGACAGACGATAACTCCACCTATATATTCTTGATCACGTAACATTCTAAATGGCTATGGTATCTTCGATTGGAAGGCCTTTCATCGGCAGTCTCCTGTAGTTACGTCAGTGACTAACGGTAAACGTTAGCTTGGTCAGCCAGTTATTGAATTAATTAATACAATGAACAACTGTTTACACACAAGCCACCCGAGCATCTACGGGGTTGATTTTGAGCTTGGCATGTAAATAAAGGTCTAATTAATAATTTTCTATAACATCTGAAGAAAGACTGGCAATAGGCTTGTCTACGATATCACCTTAGGTGGAAGTGGACGTAAAACCCCAGAAACGAACGAATGGCAATAGGCAGATTTAGCTCCGAACTAATGTATCTTTAACCTATGCATCTGAAAGGCATACAACTGTTTTTAGGTCGAAACCAAACGACTTACTAACAAAATTGTGTTGAAGATTAGACTTACAGTTAGTTTCACCATGTACCCATGCTAGAGTTGAGACGACAGCCAAGAAGATATACAGTATCCATGATGTTGTCTTCGCCTAAAAATATACAATGAAAATATAGGGAATAAATCCATTAAATGAAATGTGGGTTAACGTCCTACTGTTCTGCCCTCATTAGGCTACATGTTACGCCATACAGAGTGATATGGGGAAATTTTGCCTACTATTATACCAACTGCCAAGGGATCTTTTACGCACACCAACCTCGGTTTTTCGTACCATCCGAACGACTAGACAGCTGTCATTGTCAGGCCCTCCGTCCTGCATCACTGATAAAGGGGAAACCACGCCGGAAAATCTGGATGAATTTTCTCGGCCAATGCAGGAATCGACGCCCGACCTCCAGGCTAGCGAGCCAGCGTCTTACCCACCGTGATCCCCTAATGAAGACAGAAAAAAGGAAATACGGCCGCATAGCGAATGTGTTTCGAATCAGGTCGCCACAGACAGAGGCGTATCTGGAATTAAAACTTGGATGTCATTGAGAGAGAGAGAACTTATTACGGGAGTAACATGGTTCAATTTTATTTTAAAAATTCGCTTGCGCAAAGGGGGGTCTTTATTGGCCGGCAGCAAAAATTTCTAGGGTGCAATTCCGCTACGTGGTCATACCTAATATAATCTGCGACCATTAAAAAGTAGATGAGCATGTTTTAAAGAAAATTTACGGGTGTTCCAAGCACCGGCAGCGCAATAAAGGCTGCTATAAATTTATTCGTACGGGATTTATTTAATTCGCGATGTTATAAAGCGTAGGAAAATAACTGGCGATTGGTCACCATGGGCCAATCTGAAGCTCGTATGGTGACCCGCTTACCCCGCCTAGAAAGTTGTAAACAACAACACACATGTAATGGCTGCGCCCATGAAAGAACGTGAATCGACTGATACTTCATATTTACGCGGTATTGTTTATTACGAGGGATTACGAAAGGAACGAGAACAACCATTTACAAAATCTCGTTGGGATTAATTCCGTGAATTTGCCTAGAAATGGCTAGAACTTGATGTGCGGGGAATTGCCTCGCTGAACAGGTGACTTCGAGTGATATAATCAGCAAGGAATTTATCGACGCGCCAAAAGATGCAGGACTTCACGCAATATGTTACAGGCCTTTTACAAATTCCGAATTGTATCTGCCCGTAATTGATTAGAGAAAGAAAAATTAAAAGCTCCGGCTACAAGTCAACCAGGGTGCAGCCGATCTGGGACTTAGCTCTCCAAAGAAATTAAGATAAAAAAACAGAATACATACAGTCACTTCAGCCGTTCCAGAAGTAAAAAGAAAGAGTAGATCGGTGCTGCCTGTTGTGCGTATAATATGTAAAAAAATAACTTGAAAGATTTGTCACTGTTGGCGAAAATAGGAAGAATGATGTATTAAACCAGACCCAAACAGCAGGTATGTTACTTACATTCAAATTGTAATTACTAAAAATTATATTCATACACTGTCCTACAGTTTTTAATGGTTGTGTCGTTGCAAATGGGATCAGCAGTGCTACTGCGATCACTGTAAAATTGTTATGAAACTGGCCAGTAAAGCCCTTTACCCCATTTTTATACGCCTTCATGTTCATGTGGACGTACATTGTCGTCGCCGCTGACCACAATATTGTTTGTGGACACTCTACAGGTCACAAATTTTATCCGATTTCATTGAAACTTGAAATACAGGTTTATCTCCCTACGATCTCGGTTCCTTTCGAAATTGGCATGTATCGCACCGTAGTTTCGCGGATTATGGCCTCTGATTGTACGAATAATCGCGCTTTTGGCTTTTGGACACTCTAGAGGTCACAATTTTGATCCGATTGTGATGAAACTTGAAATGCATATTTATAACCCAAAGATCTTGGTTCCTTTGGATATTCGTGCATATCGGATCGTAACTTCCTGAATTATGGCCCCTGATTGTACGAAAAATCGCGTTTTTGGCTTGTGGTCCATCCAGAGGTCACAATTTTGATTCGATTTAAAAAATAAAACAAAATTTGATTATATCACTGTTACACAGTAATGAAGGTTGACCAAAACTGCCGGACAAAATGGCCGCCGCTTGTACGCGAATAGTGTAAACATATGGTATATCAAGGTTGTGAACCCTGTTGAGGTCACAATTTTAATCCGATTTTGATGAAACTTGAAATGCATGTTTATAACCCAAAGATCTTGGGTTTTTTTTCGATATTTGCGCATATCGGGTCACAATTATTATCCGATTTAAAAAACCGTTTGATTATATCACCGTTACATCGTAATGAAGGTTGGGTTCAAAACTGCCAGACACAATGTTCTCCCCTCGTACGCTAATGGTGTAAACATCTGGTATATCAAGGTTGTGGACCCTCTAGAGGTCACAATGCATGTTTATAACTCGAAAAACTTGGTTGCTTTCGTTATTCGCGCATATTGGATCAAAACATCATGAATTATGGCCCCTGATTGTACGAAAAATCGCGTTTTTAGCTTGTGGACACTCTATAGAGGTCACAATTTTGATCTGATTTAAAAAAAAAAAAACGTATTATTATCACCGTTACACCCTAAGGACGACTGAGTTCGAATTTCGTGAAAATCGGCTCAAAATTGACAGACAAAATGGCCGCCGTTCGTTCTCAAATAGCGTAAAAATATGGTATATCAAGGTTGTGGACCCTATAGAGGTCACAATTTTTATCCGATTTTGTTGAAACTTAAAATGTAAGTTTATTACACAAAGATCTCAGTTCCTTTCGATATTCGCGCATATCGGACAGTAACTGTCTGAATTATGGCCCCTGATTGTACGAAAAATCACGTTTTTAGCTTGTGGACCCTATAGAGGTGATAATTTTTATCCGATTTAAAAAACCGTATTATTATATCACCGTTAGAGGAAACTGGAAATGCATGTTAATAAGCCATTAATAAGACAAAGATCTTGGTTCCTTACGATATTCGTGCATATCAGATCGTTAAACTTCCTGGATTATGGCCCCTGATTTGTCTAAAAATCGCATTTTTAGCTTGTGGATTCTCTAGAAGTCACAATTATTTTTCTGATTTTAAAAACCGTTTAGATACGTCACCATTACACCATAATAAAGGTTGAATGGGAATTTCCGGAAAATCGAAATGAAACTGACCGACAAAATGACCGCTCCTTGTATGCAAATTGTATATAATTATGTAATTCAAAGGTTATGGACCCTGTAGAGGTCACAATTTTTATCTGATTTTAATGAACCTTAAAACAAATCTTTATATTCTAAAAATCTCAGTCCCTTTTGATATTTGCGCATTTCAGGCCATAACTTTCTGGATTATGGCCCCTGATTGTACAAAAAATCGTTTTTGTTTTTAGCTGGTTCTCTATCCTGCCTGGCAGTCGCTGGTTTGATTTGGCACAGTCGTTGGTTGTAGTGTTGAACATTCGCTTCCACAAGGGGTGAAACACAGTTTTTTCTTTTATTTTCTTGCCCCCCGTCAAGGTGTTTCCGCTCACACAAGGAATCTGAACCATAACCGCATGCAAGAGTGGACCAGCCAGGTACATATAGGCCGCAAAGTGGCATCCCCCCCACCCTTTGATACACTCAACATTCAACGCTATATTATATGGTGTATAATTTGTTTTGTTTGTAGGCCAACTGTTGAAAGCTGCTGAATTGAATGGGGATATGTTAAGGCATATCAGAGGGCAAGAGTGTGTAACCATTGAGGGCAGGATATCGCCAAAAATGCTATTGGCAGTATACCGAATTTGTTAATAGACGGTTATTAGAAAGGTAAATATTTGCGATGTTTTGTTTTTATATTTGTAGCTGCACCCTGCTTCATAGATTTATGTCAGTAAAATTTATGCTTCTTTCTTTATGTTGATATTCCAGTTGCAGTTAATTTTTTATCTCGTCCTATAATGTCGATTACTTGAACCATCCACTAAAATTTATCATCTCTACGTAGCCCCCACTCACTGTCAAAGTGTGAAAGTATGTCTGCCCCATTAATAATTCCTTTGTTTTCTCCGGATGCTTCGCTTTCCTACCTCTGGTAAAGACTCTTGTGCACAAGCGTATTATTGAAATAAAACTGAACCATGGGTTAGTCCTGAAATGACTATGTTTGTGTCCAGTGGACGTTAAACCCCAATTCTCCCTCTCTTTGTACTGCTAATGCATTCCTATCTTCATTAGCTGGTTGCGGCATGAAAATAAGATGTTAAAACATGTGCAAATCTCTTATGCCCCTTACGTCTATGAAATTAATGAGAGTTAACCAAACTCCAGAATTTTGTCTCAATTGTGTACATTTATATGATTATTTATATTTTTCACCAAAGGTGACAAGCCCCCCCCCCCCCGTCAAATATTTAACCACTTACAAAATATTCTGTAATGATGTCATAAGCGAAAGACTCATAAATGGTCAGGAAAACATTCGACTGGTCAAGCTTTATGATATATGCAGGCAAAGAATTTGGAAACATTTGTATTTGAGTCCAGACGACACAGATGTGGCAATTATATCTGTAACTTTGCAGTCAAAAATAAGTGCTGACCTTTATACTTTGACAGGAGTGAAAAATAAGGCTAGGATTATTGATATACAGAAAGTTGTACATTGCATTGGACAAGATTTTTCCCGAGTCACTAGTTGGACTGCACGTCTTTACCGGGTGTGATTTTACTAGTGCCTTTTATGGAAAAGGAAAGAAACGTGCCTTTCAGATAGTTAAAGAAAATAAATAATTTTTAAAGGCATTTGAAAGTCTTGGTACAACATTTACTCTAAAAGTTCATACACGTATAAGTAGTGCCTTGCGGGAATCTTTTGTATGTAGGCCATATGTACAAAAATGTGATCATGTAAACGAAGATCTGGCTACAAGATCTTTTTTATCAGTTCTTCCTCTGAGCAAAATATGCCACCGACTGATTACGCTTTAAATCAACATATTCTTCGTGTGAACTCTCGGTGTGCCATTCATAAAATAGCCATATGTCAAACCATCAATGCGCCTTACCCGGAAAATCGTGGCTTGGAATTAAAAAAATAACCAACTCCTTATAACATGAATGAAAAAGAAAACCTGCGCCTGATAGTGTTTTAGAATCAGTGGCATGTGTGTCAAGGAAATGCATCAGTGGGCGCTGCTCTTGCCATTCAGCAAAATTGTTTTGTACAGAAAAATGAAAAAAGAAAACCTGTTTTAACTTATATCTACATGTATGTTTGTAATTTGACCTTTAATCATATCCAAAATAGAGTTTGTCAGCTACGTGTACATGTAGGCTACAGTTGTAAAAATACTGCAGTGGCTAATTGAAAGGGGTTGTGGGGTTAGAATGTTTATCTGAGCGGACAAAATCTTGTGGTTCAATGCGAATTCCAGTGATACTGACCTCCATTATTTCAAAAGCATATTACTCAACTACTGTGAAACATATCCTAAGGCTAGGATATACTACAAATCGATTCTAGCATGTTCCATACAGACGATAATTTCTGAGCAAACATCCACCCACCAACTCTTGTAGGGCTGTATGTTGCTGTATTTAGAGGCAGAAGAGATTTGATTGATCGACAATAGGCACACTCCATCTAAAGCTCAAGCATCCAAAGTCAATCCAGCAATGGCCAGAGAGGGATTTCTCGGGCCATTGCTTCAGGAATATGAGATCTATGTTCTAAACATACATATTCAGTATCATCAGAATTGGATAAACATTATGACCCCTAGAGTGCCCACACTTGATTTTTGGTACAATCAGGGCTCATAATCCGGGAAGTTACAGACCGATATACGCGAAAACCGAACGGAGCCTTAAAATCTGATTGAAATTGTGTCCTGTAGAGTGTCCACAAAAACAAACTGTGAACGGGCGGGCGGACCGCAAGAAAGTTTCACACCTTTAAATTAAGAAGTAATAATATAAATTTTTATATTTACCATCACTTTGATAGGTAGACGTATAATTCTCAACTATCGGGTTCCTAATCATAATTAAATACAACATACCGATCTGGTGCCTTATATAGGCCTAATCAACACACCACACATATTTTAAAGGGACAAAACGCTAAATACTGGGAACATTTTAAATGGACGTAAAACCCTTCTTGGTGGATATTGACCACAGTACCTAGAACGGATGGAAAGACGACAGCCATTTAACGAATTACTAAAATCATTGACATTTTAAAACCCGAGAAAACAATATTGAAACATTACTGATGACGTCACAAGCGCATTCTTTAATAAAGTGTAGCGCTTTAATGGAAGAACCTGTATTATTTTCTAAAAGTTAATCGATTTAGCGAAAGTTAATCGATTTAGCGAGAGAGAGAGAAATAGGGTTTAACGTCCACTCGACACAAACTAGGTCATTTCGGGACTAACATTGTTTAATTTTATTTCAATAATTCGCTTGCGCGTAGGGGTCTTTAGCAGTGGGGGGAAACCGGAGGACCCGAAGAAAACCCACGAGGTTGGACAGGCGACCCTACTCCTTGTCACGTACAACCGGGGATTCGAAACCACGCCAGATTACTCAATGGCAGGCTTTCTGATACAGCGGGCACGTGCTAACCATTCGGCCAGCCAACCCCCCAATCGATTTAGCTGTCATTATTATTTATCGTTGGGTAGAATATAGAAACATGTGGAACAATATGTTTATACATTGAATAATACTTGGACGTGTCAGTATTTTAAATATAATTTTCTAAATGGTTTTCTGTCAACTTACCTGTGTTGAAATGTCATTACTTTCTATTAAGGGAGTTATTTCACAACAAACAAACTGCCAAGCTGTCCATTGAAACGTTTATTTTGTGAAAGGTGTCAAATTGTTTGATTTGCGATATTGTTTACTTTATTTCAACCAGTTCCACCAGCGTGCAAAGTATGGCGACAGCTGTTTAAAGAGACACGTAATGGATACGCCATCTTGTCTACGTTATCACCCTTGGAAGTGGACTTAAAGCTCCAGAAACGAACGACGGATACGCCATTCACAACCCCTGTCACGTGGCTAACAATCGGATTAGAATTCATTGTGTTTCACTGAGTGTTACTCTCGTTTTTAATATAACTATGTTCATAACCCCCTAAACAATTCAGAATATAAGTTTTTGCAACATATTCCGACCGACTGTCATTTATATTTAAATTTAGTTGGATTATGTTGTCGTTGGAGGGGGGGGGGGTGTGCTTGTCGGATTAGCTGCATGTTGTCAGGGTGGTAAATGTCTCATTTGCTGCATGTTGTCAGGGTGGGATTGTCTGATTACCTGCATGTTGTGATTAGTTGCATTTTGTCTTCGATATCTTGGTCGGCAAGTGTCGATTTTATAATGTAATTTTTGTGAAAATACCTAATTTGTTTATATTGTCCTAAGCTGAGTCTCCCCAAAAACGACATGAACATACCTGCCTTAGAGAAATTGGAGGGTTAGGGTTGTCAGCCGAGAAGATCGTCCTTATCCTATTGTACTGCTTCTAAAATCGCATATTTGGCATTTGACCGTTGTTTTGGAAAAAAGGAGCCCTCCTAACAAGTTTATTTCGAATTTCACATGTTAAATGAAAATGGGGTAACTGTGACAACTTTATAGACAATTAACGTTTTGGGAATTGGGTCAAGATTCTGCAATTTGGCATCCATAGCAAAATGTTTGTTTCCTCAATATCCTCTTTGGAGCAGTGAATTATGATGGCCTTCTCAGTTAACTACGTTGCTAGTTGTAAATGTTATCAAAAGGTCCTTTGTCATGGCTTGTAGCGAAAAAAATTCCATACGTTTCTATGGGTAAGTGTCGAACCAGTGTTCTCTTACTTAAACTGATTTGATGGACCATTAGTAAAAAAAAAATAAATGTCTTGAATTTTTAAAAAGAAATTGAACTGGTGAATTTTGTTTTCAAAATTGTAAATTAATATTGTTTTTACTACGCCATTGTCGTCTTGTAAGTAATATGATACAATGACCATTAAATAACCATTAAAGCCCACACAGTGAAAATTGTAATTTGACTGTAGGTGCAACCCAATCTGTTTCACAGAGTATTACGAAAGTCTTCTAATATCTCTGTAAAAGATGACTGCCTTCAACACATGACGTCATATCACGCGGCGTCAATCATTGGCTCAATGGCGCGTGCATTGTTTACATAAGACGTTACTAATTCGAGCAGAATGGCGCATTTTACTCATTTTATTACATATTTACACTAAAATAGGAAATAATTTTTACCTACAACTAATTCAAACGTCTTTATTTATTTTTCTAATGCATAAAAAAAATGGTTTAGAATGTAATTTGTCGGAGGAAAAAAGTTAATAGTCGTGGTTCATTAAGTCGCATCGATGTCATCCTTATCAGTGATTGTCGAAGCCTAGCGAATATTCACTGCGGATAAGTGTGGGTGCAACCTATTTACGTAAAATCACCTGACTACCCATTTCATCTTAATTTTCGTTAACTGATTTAATTTCATTTGTATAATTTTGGAGTGAACTCTTTTGACAAACGTCTATTTAAAAAATATGGAACGAAATTGCAAGTAAATAAAAAAATTATTTTAATAGTCCATGACTTGGATATTAGATGATCAGTTCATCATCAGCTCCCCACTAATTGTAGCTTCACCTGAGCAGGTTGTAAGCGTGCAAACTTTGAATGGGCACAATTCAAATTTAGGTCCCATCATGAAAAATTATGTGAGCTTCTGTTAATGGAGTTAGTACGTTCTGGTTCTGTTTATTTTTTCTTCCTGGGCTTCCAGATTATCACTACATCTTTTTAGCAGGGTGTCCTCAATGTCTTCAGGACAAACCTCAACGCGGATTCCATAGAGCTCATTCTGGTTAGGCCCTAGGGTTTTATAGTGGTGTCAAATCTATATTTGAAGCTAGTGCTGTGATAACTGCAGACCTTTTATTTGGAGAACCAGAGCAGAGTGTCCCAACGTTTACGGTCGAGGCAGTTTTACAGCCAGTTGATCTTCTATTCTTACATTATCGTAGGAGTAGAACGCTCTCCAAAGTAGTTCTTCATAGCTGTCCAATTCTACTTCCGGCACACCCCTTCTTTCCTTCATAAGTCTGTCATTTTCTTTTATTGTTTTATTTCTATAACGTTTTGATTTTTCCCGTGGAATAACTGGCATGATGAATTTGTTAAAGCACTAAGTTTCTGTCAGTTAATAATAGGGATTAATTATAAATTCTGTTTTCAACTTCGACTACATGAAAAATAATTAGGCTTGGGTGGACGAATGCTCTAAGGCGTGTGCTTTAGGTCATTATGTTTGTCAATGGGTCAGATGGCGTGGTTTTGAATCCCCGCTTAACCATACAGAATCTGAGAATCTTCAGCAAATTCAGTCCCACTGCCAATACCACCCCTCTGCAATAATTCAAGTTAGTGTTCGTGAATTAAATCATTTATTTAGGTATGTAGTCTGATGTTGCCAGGGCGCTATTGTATTGTCTGATTGTCGGAATAGCTGCATGGTGGGATTGTCCCAATCAGCCTATTGCAGTTCTTTCTTTAGGCCTTAACTGTTATATAAACTATCAATTAGACATTTACTAACACCACAAGACCATAATCATGGAAACTTCCTCAGTGCCATCAGCAAAATGTATTCCAACTAACTGGGACTAAGTGACTTCATTGCGTGTATTACGGGTACCATACAAGGCTGTATATTAAGCCCGTTATTATTTTCGCTTTTCACAAATCTATATGTCAGGGAGTTGCAATACAAAACATTTAATGGTATCTTTGCATCCAATGTATTTCCCAATGTATTCTCAGCAACAAATTAACGTTCTATAGCATTTTTTTGCGATAAATATGGAATGTCCATCAAAACTCAAAAAACAAGATACGTGTATTCAGAAACGGTGGTCCACTGAGATCTTACGAAAAATGGAGCTACCATAATGTCCGAATAGATACAGTTTCTTTTTACAAATATCTACGTGTTGTGTTCTCAACAACACTGAAATGGTCAAAAACAAATGAAACTCAAATTCTACAATCCGAGAAAGTTATTGATGAAATTCATATACAAAAGGTGTCGAGCTATCATTCTTAGTTGTGCTGTACAAATATGTGATAAAATGATCCTTCCGATGAGGGCATTGTTTTCGCACAAAAATAGAAAATGTTCATTTAAAGTTCTTCAACTTAGATCCGATCTATTTTTCAACTCTGCAAGATGCATCGTAATATTGGGTTAAACTTGTATGCATGCTAAACAAGCGTATGTGATGTTACATAACTTGGATATGGATGGTGGGAAAACATGGGCAAGCGATTTAAAAAAAATCTAGTATTTAGGTATGGCTTTATTTAGTATAGTATGGGATTCCCAAACAACAGGCGATTGTGCTGAATTTATTTATCTATTCATGCAGAGACTCCGTGACTGCTGTGCCCAAGAAGAATGGCATTATTCCTTGAAAACCCAAGACTTGTATATTATAGCCAATTTAAAAGTATCCTTGGTCTAGAACCGTATTAATGTCAAATAATGAACAAAAAGTCGTTATAAATATCTCAAAATATCTATATTTAGCAACTGAAATACGTAAAACATTATTATCCTTTGCATACATCGTGTATCCTGTGTGTCAATTATCACAAGGTAATTATTCATATACAAAAATATAAGATATTATTCCTTATTTTAATAATCGTATTATCACAGGTAGAATTATTAATACACTATTATAACATTGTAAATAGTATTCTACACTAAACTGTTCCTTTCTTACGTATGCAGGACGGAGGGCCTAGTCGTTCGGATGGGACGAAAAATAGAGGTCCCGTGTACACATTGGCGTGCACGTAAAAGATCCCTTGACAGTTGGAATTCGATATAAGAGTAGGCCGCAGTGCCGCTGTCTGGGCAAGATTACCCTCATAGCACACTGTATGACGTATTCCCGTCTTCATTAGCCCCGTCGGAGCAGAACAGTAGGACGTTAAACCCCATTTCATTTTATTTCATTCTTTCTTTCGGTATTTTGTATACCGTTTAATTTATTGTATTTGTATATGTTTTTCATAAATTATTTAGTTAATTGCTTAACACCAACGATGATTGCAATAAGTGTACATAATTTCACTTCAATATGCTAAATTTGTACTTATTATCATTATTATAATCCAGTCTCGATGCCATCGGAAAAGTCTTAAATATTGGATATCAAAAAGCCCATCTTTCCTGGCACGCGATTCGTGTGCGAATTTTAAAATTTTCATTTTGTCTTAAATATTTGATATTAGAAGCCTATCTTTTCACGGTAAGATAACAACACCAATTTCAATTTAAATTGACCAAAAAGCCATGCATGCAATGTCGCAGACTATGGATGATACTGAGTTAAAGACTTTCCTCCTTTAACACCTATGTCAGGTAATATATCAAAACCACCCCTACTGTTAACATGATATATTTTTCTACATAATATTGGATTGGTAACCCCAATCATAATGTGATCGTATTGTGTTGTCGTAATTGGGTCTGTGTCTAATTAGGTTTTGGATCGCCTCAAAATTTTGCATGCTTATTCCTTATACTCTTATATCATTAATCCTAATACCCCGCTCCCCCTCATGTTAATATTTTGTCTGTAAATACTCTGCAGATCGCATTTATTAACCGGCGTCGATAAAGGTGATTGCTGAGAACAGTGTCTAGTTGCTCGGATGGGACAAAACAAGACACCTGGCAATTTGGCAGAAAAGTTGATAAAAGATTACATTTCATTTCCATGGTCGTTGTTGAAATAAATGCAACATGGATTGACAAAACTTCCCTACATCCACCCAAGAAAGCTAATCGATTGTGTTACTTAGATAGGGTGTTCTAAACGTTTCCGGCCTCCCTAAATAACATGTGATCTATATGATAACAGTTATTGTTCAAGATAATCTCTTGATGCACTTATAGCATGGTTTTCCAAGCATATTAAACAACGTCGGAAAACCACGGATTGTCACATGACCCGAAAAACTTCCCCACAGCATCGGTCTGATGACATATTTGAGTTGTGTGAACATGAAGAAGTCAGAGGAAACTAGATTTAGAGAATAAGCAGGGAGAGAGAGGAGGGGGGGTGGTGGAGCCACATTCATGTGTCCCACTCACTGCTGCTTGGGCGTTGTGAACCGTAACATTGTCCTGGAACAATAAAACACCTCGACTGAACACTTCTTGAATCGATAATCCATCATGAGTACGCCCTCGGATATCCTCGCATAGCACACTGCATGAAGAATGTCCATCTTCATTAGCAAAATGAAATGAAATGAAATGGGGTTTAACGTCCTACTGTTCTGCTCCTAAACTGGGCTAATGAAGACGGGCATACGCCATACAGTGTGCCATGAGGGAAAGTTTGTCCGGGCCTATTCTTATATCGAATTCCAACTGCCAAGGGATCTTTTACGTGCACGCCAATATGTACTTTTCGTCCCATCCGAATGACTAGACAGCTGTCCTTGTCAGGCTCTCCGTCCTGCATCATTGACAAGAGGAAACCACGCCGGAAAATCTGGATGAACTTTCTCGTCTATTGCAGGGATTGAACATCCGACCTCCTGGCTAGCGAGCTAGCGTCTTACCCATTTAGCCACGTGATCCCCTATCTGCATTAGCCTGGTTGGTGTATAAAAGTAGGACGTTAAAGCACATTTCATTTGGTTTACTTTAAAAAATGCCACATACCCGGTTAAGCCTCCACCATTCTCAAAATAGCTATCAACAACACCAAACAACTACAAGTATTCATTTATATATATTATTTATTCAATGCTCTGGCAAGCAATTAACGTGCAGACTACTAAGCCATTGCTTCGACATCCGCACCTGTTGCAGCCATCACCAGCTAGGAATGAGTCGCCGGGTTTATAACGTTTACCATTATATAAGCATGTGGCGCAAGCGAGTTCCGTGCAATGTACACTTCCATCCTTGTAACATGTACAAGTGTTGCAGCCATCGGTGGCCGGGAATGAGTCGCCTGGATGGTAGCGCGTACCGTTGTACAGACAGTTAATGCAATAGATTTTGGTGCAAGGTACGGTTCCATCTTCCGTACACCAGCAGGTGTTGCAACCATCGGTGGCATTAAATGTGTCCTCTGGTTGGTAAAGTGTACCGTCGTACAGACAACAGGTGAATTTGGTACATGCTACGAGTCCAAATTCCGTACACCGACAAGTGTTGCAACCATCAGTGGCAGGGAATATTTCTCCGGGTTGGTAATATGTACCGTTGTACATACAGTTATTGCAATAGATTTTGGTGCATGGTACGGTTCCATCTTCCATACACCAGCAGGTGTTGCAACCATCGGTAGCATTAAATGTGTCCCCTGGTTGGTAAAGTGTACCATCGTACAGACAACAGGTGAATTTGGTACATGATACGATTCCGAATTCCGTACACCGACAAGTGTTACATCCTTCAGTAGCAGGAAATATTACGCCCTGCTCATAATATATACCATTATAAAGACACGTAGGAACTGAAAAAAATAAGAAGAGGTTCGCTATGAAAGGTTGACAGATATATGCTAACATGGCAATATGCAAGGTTGAAACTGTTAGACGTTGATTAAACAATTGATAATGATATAGTTGTTTAATTCATACTACTCTCAGGTGTTAGATATTAGAAATAAAGTTGTTTAAGGAAAGAAAACTAGGTTTTTGCGAGTACTCTCCGCTTCATTAAGCTTTTTGGGGCAAACTTCACCAATTCCAAAAATTGATGTTATGGAAATTGGTTAAAGATACATTATGGGAGATAAGATAAAGAGATGGCAGTTCTCGCTATAATAGTTAAAAACTAGATGGTGTAACGGTAATTTGCTGAAAATATCAGTCAAATTGATCCACTATGAGCCGAGAAAAAAGCAGGTGAAATTTTTGCATAGTCTCGGTCATCATTACTAAAATCGTAGAGCAGTTTGGTTCAAAATGAATAACAAAATGGTGTTAAAGATTAAACTTACACTTAGTATCAGCATGTACCACGAATAAAGTTGAGACAAAAGCCAAGAAGACATACGATATCCAGGTTGTTTTCGCCTGAAAATATAGAATGAATAAAATATACCAAGATCAAGAGGGTGTTTATTGTCCAATCGACACAAATATGGTTTACCGATATTCGTTTTTTGCAGCACGGACGACTTTGATTGTGACGGGTGTATCAGCGTACATGGTCTGGAAGAACCCGCATCCAATTGCGAATCGCAATTAAATCAGTTTTATTTAAATAATTCGCTTGCGCGTAGGGTCTTTAGCATTTTGAGGAGACGGGGGGGGGGGGCATGAGAAAATCCACGAAGATGGACATAACGCGTAATGTAGTAGAAAGTCACATAACGCTGAAAATCAACAGATTCATCCCCTAAGGGAATTCTGTCGGGGCCACTGTTACAAACCAGAATTGCGGAGTTGTCTTCTCTTTGAACTTTTAAAGCCTCTGACTGAATTTCAGTATATGAAAGCCCAAGGAGGAACCACAGCAGAATTCAGAGTTGTTTCCCCCGGCATACTTTAGCTTCGAAATTTAAGGCCTGCGAAAACAGTACATGATAGATTTACCGATATTCGTTTTTTGCAGCACGGACGACTTTGATTGTGACGGGTGTATCAGCGTACGTGGTCTGGAAGAACCCGCATCCAATTGCGAATCGCAATTAAATCAATTCCCATGATCAACAAAAACCACATCAAGAACAATCTTTGTACATGAGACTACATGCATTCTCAACGAGCAAGTTCCGCCTATCCAAGTCAAACTAATTAGAAGCCAGGCTGTGATTGTATTTAAAGTCGTACAATAGTCAAAAACAAACCCGAAAATCTCCCAAATGTACGTTACAATACATAAAACACCGCAAGAAAGTTTCACATCTTGAAATTGTGAAGTAATAATATAAATACTTATATTTACCATCTCGTGGATAGGTAGAGTTACAATATTCAGCTATCAGGTTCCTAATCACAAATAAATATATCACAACGATTTTATGCCTTATATATAGGCCTAATCAACAGATGACAGCTTTTAAAGGGACATTACGCCTAATACTGGAAACATTTTAAAGCGACATAACGCCAAATACTGGGAACATTCTTCTTGATAAACCATTAATTTCCTCATTGACTGGCCATAACATTTTCTCACATTTTCATTGGGTTGAACGCTTCGTACCATAGATAAAGCAACATGTGGCAACTATGGTGGGGTATCTGGTTCAAAATTCGATCTAGTTTAAAATGTAGAAAATCAAAAGTAAAAGGAAAAATTCTTACCTAAAAGGATATTTTTATGGTGCAAACCTATAAGTTTGTGTATTTAATCGGCAAAAACATCAAGCTTTTCAACTTTAAATCGTCAGAATTCCATTTTCATTGACACAGTTTCTACTTTCTTTCATCAAAATTTGACTTTCTTCTATCAAAATTTTATGCAAAAAAGAGAAAATTACTTGGCCGCTATGAGCTACCATACTATTTGAGAACTATGCGTTAGCAAATCTCGAGTAGATAGTATCATGAAGAAAGTAGAATATCAAATACCATAAAAATACCCTTATAAGAAAACATTTTCCCCTTTACTTTTGATTTTCTACTTTTTAATCTAGATCGTATTTTGAACCAGATACCCCACCATAGGCAATTTCTTGCTCAAAAGCAGGTATGAGAATCCCCAGGGAAATTTTGAGATACACAAACTGAAAGTAGTATACACGTAAACATGTAATTATCCGCCCTACTTCAACGTAACCAACCTCTTTACTTTCTTATCCTTCCGCCTCAAAATCATGAATATTCACCAAAACCTGGCAGACAACGTGACATTAACTCTCTTCTCATACTAAACCCTCAAATTAACGAAAAGTCGCTAAGTAAAACAGGGAAAGTGGCAAGGGAGACAAAGACTACCAATTAAGGGATTAATGATATCCTGTGTTCTTTTCGTTTCCGGAGACTAAGAGATAACTTCCCATGACCGATACTCTTTTCCTGACAAACTTAATTACAAACTGCCACGTACTTAGAACGAGAGAGAGAGATGGAGTTTAACGTCCACTCGACACAAACTAGGTCATTTCGGGACTAACACATGGTTCAATTTTATTTCATTAATTCGCTTGCGCGAAGGGGGCTGTAGCAGTGGGAGGAAACCGCCTGAGTACCCGTAGAAAACCAAACAATTGTCATTTGGAACGCGTGGAAAGGCAAAAACGATTTAGCGGTCATTATTATTTATTTGTGGTTAAAATATAGAAAAATAAGGACCAACCCCTTCAATATTAATATTGAATAGTACTCGTTAACACTTGGACGTGTCTATATTTCTAATATAATTTAATACATTTTTTTTGTGCCAACTTACATGTTAATGAGTTCTTTTACAACAAAACAAAAACTGGCAGGCTCTTCGTTGAAGCATATAATTTGTGAAAGGTGTCAAATTGTTTGATTTACGATATTGTTTACTTTATTTCAACCAGTTCCACCAGCTTGCAAAGTATGACGTCACAGATATGTCAATCCTCATACAACAAAAAACCTGGCAGGCTCTTCGTTGAAGCATATAATTTGTGAAAGGTGTCAAATTGTTTGATTTACGATATTGTTTACTTTATTACAACCAGTTCCACCAGCTTGCAAAGTATGATGTCACAGATATGTCAATCCTCATAATCTCTGTAACTTGGCCTAGAATCTGATTAAAATTGTTTTTTTTTACTAAGCGATTCTCTAACTTTATTAATGTAACCAAATTCTTGTCCCCATCACTGTCTTAATGTAGACAAGTTCTTGTCACCACAACTGTCTGCCAAATCATATTTTAATCAATGATTCAGAATTTGAGAATTGTCAGCACTTTCAGGCCCACTCTCATTACCATTCCTTGTGGTTAAAAGTTCGGGAGGGGGGTGGATGGCCGAATGGTTAGCACGTGCGCGCTCTATCATAAGGTCTGTCATTGAGTCAGCTGGCGTGGTTTCGATTCCCCGGTTGTACGTGTCCAACCTCGTGGGGTTTCACAGGGTTCTATGCCCCCCCCCCCTCCACTGCTAAAGAGCCCTACGCGCAAGCGAATTATTGAAATAAAATTGAACCATATTTTAGTCCCGAAATGTCCTATTTTGTGTCGAGTGAATGTTACCCCCACACACACACACCCACACCCCTCTCTCTCTCTCTCTCTCTCCCTCTCTTTCTCTTTCTCTCTCTCTCTTGCTTAGCAGCCCCGAAAACATATAAAACAAAATTTCACTTGTCTTGGCGAGAAAATCTATTTTTTATATTTTTCCAAAGCCCAGTTCCTCATGATTGACACGAATATACTTACCCTAGAAAAAGTGGAGGAATCTTTAACAATAATAGCGCAGATAAATTTAGTATATCAAATACCCGAAAACCGGTTTGTTAGTCAGCCAGGGGCTTACGCACTGAGTCACCGTGGCTCCATGAATTGAAACATAAATCAAAGTCAATAAGGTGCTGCGTTTTTCTGTCAAAATACAAATTACAAAAATAAATGTTGGTGAACACTCCCCCTAACATATTATTGAATTCGAACGATATTAATTTTGAATATTTATATGAAGATGAATCCCCTTCCATTAACACCTGTGTCAGGTAATATATCAAAACCATGCCGTTTGTCAAAACAATATACTAGTCTACAAAATCTGTGATCAGCAAAATACATTTTAATTTAATCTTTGGACCTTCAACCGGAATATTAGATTAGACTGATTATGGTAAATATATTTATATCTATATTTTTTTTTAAACATTAAAAAATAAATATATAATGTGGTATTGTTGGTGTCTAAACACACATATTAAGCAGGTAACAGTAGTCTGACTCGATATGAAATTTTACTCAACCAAAATCCGGACAACAATCTCCAACAAAAGAGCGCGCGGGATCCTGCTTTACCGTAGTAACAGGTCACATGACCAAACATGTGACAGGTTAGATCTATTTCTTAATCCCACCTCCAGCCAGGTTTGGTCAAAGGTCACGAGATGTAACATGGCTAGTGCTAACCGCAACCGTAACCCTGGACCTATCCCTTACCCAAACATAAACCCTAACCCACAATCACGTGCCCTAACCATGACGAAATCTGTAGCTATCCTTGAGAAATAGATCTAGTCCGTGTGACAGGGAAACCTGTCAAAGAGCTACCATAAAGGGGTACATTACAAGGAGATACTCTCCACAATAAATATTTCGTTTAAACATACTTTATTCACAGTTATCAAAAGGATGAGGCGCGTTTAAAAACCTTAGAGTAGCCCTTTCCATACGTGTTGTTAAAAACATTAAAATTTAAACAAGATAATATATGCAACAAGTAAATAATTATATTAGAATTTAAGTTGTATCTTAGCAGTATCAACGAGTTAAAAACTAAAGCTTCATAAGTGGGGTATAATTGAAATGAAATGATGTTTAACGTCCTACTGTTCTTCGCCGACTGGGCTATATGAAATTCTAACTGTCATAGTTTTTTTTACGTGAACCTCGGTTTTTCTCTTGTCAACATTGTCCTTTTCCAGGTACTCGGTTCTGCACCAGTGGCAAATGATAACCACGCCGGACAATCCCGATAAACGTTTTCTGCTCCGAGACCTCCAGGCTTGCGAGTTAACGTCATACTCATCGAGTCACCGCGCTTCCCGGATATAAATAAAATGATGTACAACACGATGCCCTTTGCTAATAGTAAGTTCGGGAGAACAGCACCAAACATAACAACCAGGGAGCTACGGTGGCTCAGTAAGTAAGGCTTTGACTCGCTAACCTGGCGGTCCCGTGTTCAATCCCTGCATTGGCCGAGAAAGTTGATCGAGATTTTCTGGTTTGATTTCCTGAGTTGTGCAGTACCGAGGGCCTGCCATGGGACAATGTATAGTCCTACGGATGGGACGAAAAACCGATATAAAAGTAGGCAATATGTCCCTCAGCACATTGTATGGCGTATGCTCGTATTCATTAGCCCCGTCGGAGCAGAACAGTAGGACACACAACACGCAGACAATGTAGGACTTTAAGGAGAAAAACCCACGGATAAGACAAAACAAAAGGACATTGTAAGTTTTAAATACTAGAAGTAACATCACCTGAAGTGAATGAATCGTGGGTCGGCCGTAAGAGCCCACTGAAGTGTGCGGGTATATTATAAATTAATTGGGATAGTTGACAATACCTTATGTAAGAGCTAAATCTGCATTTTGGCTTCAAATGGTATATAAACTGTCATTTAGACATGAATATTTAAGCCTATAATCAACTATCTTGGCCATCGGATCGCTCCGATTTTGAGTAGATTAGAACGCTTCCTTCGACCATTGATGATTTAATTTAAAAATCGAGAAGCGAGATTCAGTCTCAAATAACAAGTACCGTTGTTCCAAATATGAATAATCAATGCACACATCTTGTCAAAATTACAAACCGTGTTAACAGAATAAGCTAAGTTGAATGAAATTTTGAACTGTTATAGCAAGAACGATCAGCTTTAATGCATCTTTATTTACATTTAAATCTTTATTGACCATTTAATCATGTGAGGGAGGGGGTAATTTTGGATTATAAGGTTTACCAATGAGTCAACTGGCATGGCTTCGAATACACATTTGGACCAACAGTCGGGTTACCTGCTCATCCTCGAGGGTGTTCATCCGGTTCTACAGACCCAAACACCATATTATTATGTTAGTCCCGAAGTAAACTGGTTTATGTTGAATGGACACTCTTATTTATTGGAGAAAGGGTGTTTTTTTTTTGTTGTTGTCAGAACAAAATGGCGAGCATATTTTGAAATCGCCGTATTGTCAGTTAAATCTGTATTTATTGTAGGTAGGAATTAATGTGACGCCGTTCCTTTTCTTGTGTTTTACACTTATTTGGAACCAAGTAGAAGGTAAGTATATTCATATATTAATACAGAGAGAAATAAGAAATCGAAGACATTTGGATGGGTTGGGAGGAGTCCTTGGGGGGGCACAGAACGGAATTGAACCATTTTTGACTGATAATTGTATCAAAAAGCAGTGCATGTTGCGATTATTTACAGAGTTATTGTCCTTACCTGTAATGTCCATGCTCCGTAAAAACAGACTTGTGAATTCGTGAACCCACTGTTCACTGAATATATTACACTGATAATCTTCCCTATTTGACGGCACGGACGTTTGCTCTAAGTGGGCCAACTGTTGTTCTTTTGGCAGGTGGTTGTTCATTGAGTTGTTTGAATGGCGGAGTTTGTAAAACAAGGGCGACAACTGGTTCAATACAAGCAGAATATTGTGAATGTCCTAGAGTTGATACGGACACCATTTATACCGGAAATAGATGCGAGAAATTGAGAATTTCAAGTGAGTGGCTTTTGGCAACTGGTAATAACACAACACATTTGTTTTACTACCGATGTTTAGACAACGGTTATTTCACTCTCTTCATAAAAACTAGAGAACCATCGTCGACAAATCGCTAGTAACATAAACCAGTAATGGTTATCTATATCATGTGTTGTGTTATTCAAGTTAGCTAGTTTTTATACATCATGTATTCTTCTATATTAAAATATTATAAAATCAAATTTAATTAGAACACAATTGGAATAATTAATTGGCCAGACTGTGTGGTAACACATGTAATATCCCTTATTTTCAACCACAGGGCGATTATTTTTAAATTTATGAAATCGTTCGTGAGGTTTGATAGGCGTATTAGTTTCCCGGGCTACCTGTCAATTTATGTTTTAATTTAATCGCTTGAAATAGGTTTGACGGCCAGTTGTTATTCACAGTGCATTTTATGCTGAAATTTCTTGATAATATAACTTACCAGAAGGCATGAAATCTCACTCCGTCGCAGCTTCACCTCGATACGAGTTAACAGCACGAAGCCATGGAGAAGACAAGAAATAATAAGTGCGAAGCCAAGTAGTCGAGTCACTTCATAGCTTCGCCTTGTTCATCTCTCGTCTTCTTTTAACTCAGCGAATCGAAGCCGGGAGGATGCGAGATTTCCTGACTTCTTGCCGCCGATCCTTGTAAGTCTGTACCTTTAGGGTCGGCGATTTCTGCTACTAAAACTGGGGTTGGTTGAGTAACTCTAATCGCAGTTATTTTCCAAACAGAAATATTACCGAAGAAGAATAACCCTAACATTTACATTTACCTATAATTGATTTAAGGAAGTTGTAACAAGACATGTCAACATGGCGGCGAGTGTGTATTTACGTATGACCAGGATTCAACTTGTAAAACATTCCATCAACAATGTGACTGTCAAGAACCATATACTGGCGAATTTTGTGAAAAATATTCTGTTGAAGGTAAGAAGCGGCGTGTGCAAGAATGTTTTCTTATAGGGGTGGTACAGGTATTCCGTTGGACGGTACGCAGCGATGGATCGTATAGATATTTCGTTGGACAGACATCTCGATGGATTGTATAGATATTCCATTGGACGGTACGCAATGATGGATCGTATAAATATTCCGTTGGAGGGTACGCAGTGATGGGTTGTATAGATTTTCAATTGGACGGACTGACCGATGTATCGTATAGATATTCCGTTGGACGGACGCAGTGATTAACCACATAGTCTGTTGGACGGCACGCAGTGATGGGTCGCATAGATAGTCAGTTGGACGATATGCAGTGATGGATTCTTTAGATATTCCGTTGGAATGACGCAGCGATAGATAGTATAGATAGTCTGTTGGACGATACGTAGCGATGGATCGTATAGATACGCACTGATGGATCCTATGGTTAGTCCGTTGGGCGGTAAGGGGGTTGGTTCGTCTGTTGGACTGTAAGGAGAGATGGATCGTAAATTACAGTTTACTTTTTATACATAAGGTACAATTAACCGGTAACTCACGATGTAAAGATATCTATTTTTGTTTACTATTTAAGTTGAATGTATGAAAGCTTGCCAGAATGGTGGACGGTGTACTCTGGTTGACAATGGTGATAAGAGGTGTACTCGGGATAGTTGTGTTTGTCCTACAAATTACAGGGGAGAATTCTGTGAGACTTATGCCAACACCCGTGAGTATTAGGTTTTTTGTTGACGTCTTTATTGAGTATTCTAAAGCTCTCCATATTTAAGTGATTTATAAAAAGTCTAATAGGACTCTTGAAATCTCTCACAATCCAGTCTTGAAGTCTCTCACAACCCATCTCTCTTGACATCTCTCTTAAAACAGAATAACCCCCCTTATGCGTCACGATCGCCTAAGGGAGAATGGGCACAGTAATATTTAGCTGTAAATGTGTATATTTTGTAGTTGAGTGTATCCCGCCATGTGTATCCGGACAAGGCGATTGTATTATTATAGAGAATTCCAAACTAGCACCTCATCTAACAGACAAGGCTTACTGCAATTGTTCATCTAATGCTACGGGTTATTTCTTTGGTAGCCAATGTGGGTTTTACAGACAAAGACCTGCTGGTAAGTTAATACTGATGATACAGAAATAATATAGAAGTTAACTACCGGATGTCTGTCTCGTGTTGGTTAAAGTCAGCTAGCCCAGACATATAAGTATGAAGTATGGCGTATAGAGTGGCGTGTGACGTATAGCCATAACGTCAGCGTTTCTCCGTCAGAGAATCATAAAACTTTTTAATCAAAATGTTACTTTTCTTCCTGGCTAAATAAGATGGCAGTAATATCTGAACTTTATGTACAAACTGTGACCCACCCTCCCTCTGAACAATCAGCGACCCTCCCCACCACTTTAACGAACAAAGGTCAGTTATGGAGGACAGAAGGTTCTGCGAAAAGGCCGAAAGGTGCAAATCATTTTCAAATGCGCCAGTTCTAAATTAATGGCCATTTGATTTGATGTGAAGTTTATATTTGTATGGATTCGACGCGGCTGCATTTATGCGTCTCGAGTAACTAATAAATTAATAATTATTTTCCTAGCTTTCCTATTTCGTTGTGCAAATCTAGATTATCGTGATATAGCTCGACTGTGATTTCACCCTTGGTGAAAGCGGACGTTAACGTTTACGAATGAATGATCGGACGAGCTCGGATCCACTTTTTAATAATTCACATGGATTTCACAAGTTGATTTTTTTTCTTTCCAAGGATATATCAAACGTGCCTATATTTCAGAATGTAATATGACTTGTTTAAATGGGGGAACGTGTTTAGGATCAACCTGTAAATGTGCTAGAAATCTGACTGGATTCTACAACGGTGACCATTGTGAAAACTTCACAAGAAATGGTGAGCAAAACATGTTTAAAAAATGACTATTTACGAATAAGGAGAAGTCGCGGTGGCCCAGATTTGGATTGGTTATTCCCCCACCTCTCCGATTCCGCGACAGAAATTATCATAGCGAATACACAAACTCGCGCTTTCCAACTGAAATGTCTAGCTGTGATAATCGCGTTGCAAAGTTTAAGGTTCGTTCAATGTCAAGTTTTCTAGAACTTTTCCGCAATTATTATGCTATGACCAACTTCATGATCATAATAGCGCAATAACTGAGTTGGTTATATAGAGTCAATTTATCGATTAAAGACAGTTGATTAATTTATGTAGATGTTTGTGTGCCATCATGTTTTAATGGATATTGCCAATATGGAAAATGCCTGTGTTTCGACAATTCCACTGGAAGATTCTCTGGAAAGCAGTGTGATCAATTTGAAAGTGCAGACGGTAAGTAGAACTCATTAAGAGATTCGTTAGCATAAACTAAATGTATCTTATTGAAGACAAAGATTAATAATCTAAACCAGCATAGGTTTTCACTCGACCTGACTTTGCCTGTCTGATCCCTTTCTCAACGCGGGTCTAGATTATCAAAGCCCTTCGAAAGATTTTGTGGAAGTTTCAGTATCAAGAACTTAGATTGGTCTTGATTCGACCAAGCCCAAACTTTATTACAGAACGCGCCTATAAAGACATGTCTTTAGGTCAAATCGACCTGAAGCAAACAAACAAGCAATTACAACTAAAATAAATATTGGTGTAATTTTAATTTGGATTTAATGAATCAATGTTATAGGACAAGTAAATTTATTGCCCCAACGTTTGTGATTTTTTTATTTAAACTATATTTTATTCAATAAGAATAGGATTGGGGAACAGGCTAGGCCTACATCTCCCCCCTCCCTTCAACAAAACATTATAATTACAATAAGTTTACTTACATACATGTATATAGTCGAAACTATTCATATTGTGTTATTAATTATTAAAATTCTGAAAGTATACAATAATATTTTTTTCAAATAAAAAGGTTATTTGATATACATAATGACTAAATTTGGTTTAAGGCCTGAAAGTGTTTAATATGTACGATACCACTGGGGGTACCGAGGATACATATCGAGGACCGCCCCTAACAATTGTCACCGAGATGATGTTCATTAAAAGTGGCCCTGCTGTGAAGAGTGGAGCGTTACGAAGATTCTGGAGGGAGAGAAATCGCTGAACCATATCAAATATGAATTTACATTACAGAAGCCTGTAGTCCAGCGTGTGAAAATGGTGGTGTCTGTAGCTATGGTAGATGTGAATGTGAATCTAATTCAACTCATCGTGTTTATGGCTATTATTGTCATCGAACTACAGGTATGTTTCTAAACATTTTAGTGTTGGTAGGCATTGAATTACCCTTGTTAGTGGTGCAGGAACACCGCCTAGTCGTTCGTATGGGACGGCAAAAACACCATGACAGTTGGGATTCGAAATACGAACATGCCTATCAGCCAAACATTCCCTCAATACACTGCATAACATATGCCCGTCTCTATCAGCACAATTGACGCATAAGAGTAAGACATAAAAAGTCCTTTCCTCTCCAATTATTTCCATATATATATATATATATATATATATATATATATATATATATATGTTTTGTACGATTTCGGCGACTATACAGAGATCAGGGGAACAGACAAACTGCCAATGTCATAACTATGTCCAAAGATATTGTGAATAAGGTACGGGGCCTTACAGAAAGCTTTTTTTACTAAAATTGTCGGAGCTAATTGTGGGTTTCGTATACAAACTGTTTGGCGTTTTTGTTTTGTTTCTTGTTTTTTTAGAATGCTCTCCAGAATGTGAAAATGGCGGTATATGTGGCTATAATGAGAAATGTGAATGTCCATTTAGATATACCGGGGAACAATGTCAAGATTACGTACAGGGTACGTTAATTCTTTTTCTCGTAAAGACGATTACCACGTCCACCACGACCACCACGTTAGTCATAACCTCTTAAGAGATCTTTCAATGTGAAAATTAAATCTTAGTTTTCTTTCTACTCATTCCAGTTGACAATTGATAGTTCTGATTCAACTATTGACGAGATGAACACATTTTTTAATATTTCTCCATGTCAAGTTTGTGACGGTTATGATGAAACAGACTATACAGTAGTTTTTTGTAAATTATGTTTAACGCAGCAAGCTTTACATGACGTCTTCAAGCTATGACGATGTTTTTGAAACAAACTATAAAAAGTAATGTTTGTAAATTATTTTTAACGCAGTCATTTTATCATGACATCATGAAGCTTGTGACGATTTTGTTAATAGACTATAAATAGAAGTATATATAACAGTGTCGGTTTTAGGTGAGGAGAGACCCAATCCTATTCCATTATGGGGACCTTTTCATTCCACCATCCTCGTGACTAGAGGAAGACGACACCGAGGATAATGAAGGATGTTTAAGACTACGCGTACGTTAGAACGATTTATGACAGTGTCAAATATATTTATATCTTGGTGCGAGGACGCCTAGATCTTGAGGCCCTAGACTGAAGCTTCCCAAGGCTATAGATACACCCGGCATTTTATGAAGAAGTCATCACACTTGTGATGGTATTATGAAGCGGATGTTGGATTAAAACTTACATGTATTTATAATTACAGAATGCCCGTGTGTAAATGGAGGATTTTGTGCGGACAATAAATGCAATTGTGTATTTAACGAAACTGGAGTTAGTTTTGGGTTATCATGTCAAATTTTCATTCCACTAAGTAAGTACACATTTAGTTCTGACGTATTATATTTGTGTGTTCTAGCACACAAGGTTGGGTCAACGACGAGTCCAGGCATGCGCCGTGCCCGCGATATATGTCCCCCCCCCCTCCATATCTTTTTATATGTTCCATACTAACTAGTGAATAACTGCACGTCGTATATGTTGTAATTTATCCTGTCCCAGTAAACGGTGGATTCTGTGTTGCACTGCTTTAGCCACGTGTTAACCGGTCTCACTTAACGGTTAGATCCCTTTCACAAGGCCACCTGCAGATGTCATCATAGGTCACGAGATGTAAACAGGGCTAGGGCTAATCTAACCCCAGACCTAGTCCTAAGCCTTGCCCTAACCCTAACCCTAACCTAAAATCCTCGGCAACAATCACACACCCTAAACCTGTTTACATCTCGTGACCGTGGCGAATTCGCAGGCGGCCTCTTGAATTAGATCTAACCCCACTTAACGGTGTATTCTATGTTTCACTGTTTTAGTCCCGTGTTATCCTGTCGCACTAAACGGTGGATTTTGTGTGAATGAAGTTACGGCTTGTCCCTATGACGAGTATGGTTATTTCCATGGTGACCAGTGTGTCGAGTACGGCCGCCACAGTAAGTAACCATATGTTAGATTATAAAATCAGCAGAAACTTGTCTAGTTTGCCAAACGTTTTAATATAACCGTTTTGTTAATCAACACATATGCATCGTCTTGTTGATGTACTGATGAATCCTTTAGTAGGCCTATCGACTCTTAATGCTCTGTTGCTTCCAACCCTGTTCCACTGACATTCGTAATGCTCTGATGCTTCTAAACCTATTTCACGGAAATTCGTAATGCTCTGATGCGTCCAACCCTGTTCCACTGATATTCGTAATGCTCTAATGCTCCCAACTCTGGAATTCTAACACATCGTTACAAAAGTTAAATTTTTAGTTAAAATCCATTTTACTGATTTTAGCTTTTGTTTTTGGTGAAACACGGCCCAGACCTTTAATGTCCAATCCCAAATACTACGTATATTTTTACCAAAAAAGTAGAAAATATCTTGCCATTCTTTGCTTGAGAGAACCCTCATCGAAACTTCACCAGAAATAAATCTTTTAAGTAACTTGTATTCCATATAATTGTCTCATGTATTATTCTAATTACATTATTGTAAAACAAGTCACATATTATATACAAGCGGTTGACCCTGTGTAGCGCGAGTATAGCCATGAACCGGAAGTAGCATAACTCCGAAACCGGAGGTAGTAGTCCGTCGCACCCAGGCCTATATTTCTCCCCGGTCCGAGCTACGTCTATACACTAAATTGCAGCCACCAGGCCTAAACAGACAGACACACAAACGACGTTCACAAATATTAGTATAGCTTTATTCTAATTGATAATCTGGTCAGACTTTTCCTAGTTCGACATTTTTTTTTTTGTTATCCAGGTTGCACAACGGCATGTTTAGATTTCCAGGATTGTGTAGGAGACATCTGTTCATGCCCGTTTAATTTGACCACGTCGCCAAGATATCTTACTGAAGGTCTAAGATGCGAAACCACACGATATGTGTAAGCAATGGTTTATTTCAAAGCATATTGAAGCTGCTCATCCACACTTAAACTTGCATTATGCAAAAGGAAATCTGCCTATTGTAGGTCTTTCCTTAGGCCTAAAATGTTATCTAAATTATTAAGTAGACATAAATTAAATTATCCAGACCATAATCAACTCTCGATGCCATCGTTAGCAAGCGATATTTAGTGGATTTGAATACATTTTGTGAGGGATAATATAACGTAAAATAGGATAATGGAGACTTTGTTTATTATAGTACCAACGTCAGTAATGACAATCGAGGCTAGCATAAAATTGAATCGCTCGTATCTAGGTTCACAGTGCAGCAATTTGACTGAAATTTTCAACATATTCTGTTTTCATTATCTATTTTTGTAACTATTATAGCGAAAACTGTCAGCTCTTTATGTAGTCTTACCTAATACCCCTTTAATGAAATTCAGCCGCCATGGTTGCACAGTGGTTGGCTGATTAACAAGACGGTCCCGAATTCGAATGCGATGTTGGTCGAGAAAATACATGCATCTCAGGATTCTGCAGCGCACCTCCTCTCTTGATACCCGCAGAGTAGATGGTTTAGCAAAATAATGATAGATGAGAGTTTACAAGCATTGTAGTAGGATAGATCATTTACATGGATTGTAATAGACCAGAGCGTCTACATGGGTTGTAATAGACTAGAGCGTTTACATGGATTGTAGTAAGCTAGAGCGTTTACGTGGATGGTAATAGGCTAGAGTGTCTACATGGATTGAAATAAACTAGCGCTTCTACATGGATTGCAATAGGCTAGATCGTATACCTGAATTGTAATTGGCTAGAGTCTCTTCAACGCGTACATACCATTATTCCGTTATGTATTCATTTTGTAATAAGCCCGCTGCGATTAATTGTAGCGAATCTAAGCATTTTCTTATCACAATTGTAATTATCCTTAAAGTATTCGTGATAAACTGTAGAGGCTATACAGTGTCAAGAGAACTGTATATATTTGTTGTAAAGATCCACGCTTTTGTCTGTTACCTTAAATAATACGACAGCTGTGTAATAGAATCACCACCGTTGTCATCTAATACCCCCGGATGTGTCACAAATAAACAAGCGTTTAAAAAGGGTGAATCTCCAATGATCTGCAAGGTCATAGTAAGTCCAATTTTGGTGAAAATTGAGTTAGACAAATACGCGTACTTAGTGTATCATAAAGGATTTTATCCTTCATTGAAAACGCTTCTAATTATCTTTAACTAAAACGCCAAAATAAAAAATCTTTTATATTCAGTAGCTAAATCCTGAAACAGAACAGTGTCCTTTGTTTTTCGTTAAATTTGCATTCAACAGACTTACTAGGTTTTCCAGATTACAGGAGAATTTTGATTTGGTGTATTCATGTTATCTGTTTATCGTTTCAGGTAAGGCAGACAGAAAGTGAAATAAAGTTTCATTAAACACCATCATTAACGATCTTCTCTCGTTTTTCTTGATTAAAGTGCGACAATAACAACAATATTAACAGATCTATTACTTCGGGTATTATTGGGTCATATATTTGATCCACAGTAAAGACAATTGATTTAGAGATTGTAGAAAAGGATTCCCTTGCAGTATCTTTGACATTAGATGGTCTCACTCTTCAATAGCTACTTTTAGAACATTTATGGCTCGCTAACCTGGAAGTACCGTGCGGAATCCCAGCGTTGGCCGAGAAAGTTCATCAGGATTTTTCGGCGTGGTTACTCTTTGTCAGTCGTGCAGGACCGAGGGGCTGGTAAGGGACAACGTATAGTCGTTCAGCCGGGGCGAAAAACCGAGGTCCAGTGTACGCAATAGCATGCACGTTAGAGATTCACCTTGGCAGTTGGAATTCGAAATAAAAATAGGCCGTAGCGCCGATGGCCGGGCACAAATCACCTCGTAGCACACTGTATGGCGTATGCCGATCTTCATTAGACCAGTCGGAGCAGAAAAATAGGACGTTAAACCCCATTTCGTTTCATTTCATTTAGAACACCCATAGACGCCCCCCCCCCACCGCCCCATTAAAGAGCTACTTTTCAATAAAGAATACATTCGTAGTGTAATAAACACTATTGGATCTTTCAATATGAAGCCCCCCAGATTAGTCGATAAGTCTGGCGCTATAGTTCTGGGGCCTGTTTCACCAAATTTTAACTAAGATAAAATCCAAATTTTAGTAATTTGATTGGATAATATTAGATTGATTTTAGTGCTTAGCCAATCAAAATTGAAGTATCTACTAAAATTTGGATTTTATTTTCAGTTAAAATTTCGTGAAACAGGCCCCAGAACCAGATTTGCTGAGCAAGTTAGCCGAGAAGTTCCTCGCGGTTTTATAGACTGATTGTCTGTGGTCCAGGTCAAGGGTTGGGGGAGACATGGGTGTCCATCCATGTGCCTGTTGGAGGTGTGGGTAACGGAACCTTTTACAGAGGTGCCGCTGTCTGGGCAAAATTACCCTTCATAGCACACTGAATAGTCAATGCCCTTTTTCGTTATCCCGGTTGGGTGCAGGGAAGTCAATGTGGCTTAAACTTACAATATATTGTAGTACAACATACAAAATGATGAATTGTCCGCTTTTATAGTCGTCGCATCACAAATCTCGGTAGTGATCGGATCAAAACAGGATGTTTGTAATGACCCCGTCAGACCGGGGGGGGGGCGTCCTTATTGCGCTGCTGCGACAGTACAGCGACCAGAAAATCCACATGGTCGCCGGCAAACGTGAACACAACGCAGAAAAAAAGGTCCCCAAAACTTTCAAACTTGGAAAAAGTCGCGTTCTCACAGCTTTCCGTGTCATATCGCAGAACCTTAGCCTTTGCTTTGAACATGCTCAAAACAAACGCCGTCATCCGGCGATCATTGGCGACCATGTAGACCACAGCACGATACCACCACGTTTTTACCACGCTTATGGCGATCTTGACGCAGTAAGGATGCCATCCCGGTCTGACGGGGGTATAAATGATCAACAGTCTTGGTGGGATTAGGTGTGTGTTGGATGGGGGGGGGGGCATTCTAACATGTTCCCCGTTACCTTTCAAGTCAAGGGCACAATCCCGCCGAGTAACTTGTAGGCGACAAGGTGTTGTGACGTCTGCCTAATGTTCACTGTTATCTATGCAAGTCTAGAGTTCAATCCAGAGGTTGTACCCACAACGAGTAGTAATGCCGCCTACCTAATTTCTTAGTTGTTTTTTTTCTTTTGGGACTCCGATGCGCTCCAACTTGTAAAACATTATGTAAATAAACATATTACGTTAAACCCGAAATGGAACAAGTCATAACAATGGCTGAAAGGTAAAATATTATTTTACATTTTATATTTGTGACTTGCTTTAGGTCTTATTTGAGTTAATTAAATACAAGTTCGGTGAAACATATACAAGATTTTTTTTCACTAAATACAATGCGAGTATCTAGGCTGCTATATTTGTGACTTGCTTTAGGTCTTATTTGAGTTAATTAAATACAAGTTCGGTGAAACATATACAAGATTTTTTTTCACTAAATACAATGCGAGTATCTAGGCTGCTATGTTGTTGTTGTTGTCCTTAGTGCTTAACGCCCGCTTCCACCGAAGATGATATCACAGACAAGTTGTCTTATTTTCATTTTTTTTTTATCTTAGCGCACGCGCAGGGGGTCTTTCCTGTGGGAGGAAACCGGAGTACCCGGAGTTAACCCACTAGGTTGAAAAGGCGCCCCTATCTCCACGGCACATACGCTCACATCATGGATCGAAACCAGAACCGCAAGCCAGAGGTGACCGGCCAGCTAGGGGTCGAAGCGCGACATCCCAACCTCCTGTCTGCCATGCTTGCTGTACCATTTATTGTTATGCAATAGTGAGTGCTCGTAATGATTTCTTGCCACGTCAAAGGTTGTTTATATAGAGTTGTGTCCCTTTAACTATAATATTGTCAGCATTATTTATAGCTTAATAATACTCACTACTAGTCGTCCTTACCTTAATTGACGTAGATTCCGTTTTGGTTCGACTCCTTGTACATGTTAAAACGAGAAGCTTTAAAAGGTAAGAAATTGTCCCTACGTCATAACAGCCCGAAACCGTTGCTTCATTTCTTTTGCTTTTGATATTGAATTGTATTTGTTATCTATAAATCTGGATTATTTATTTTTATCTGTATATGGGTTAAGGTGACTCCTAACAAGAAGGTCCTGCAGGTTAGATGCCGGTTTTGGGCTTGACATTTATTCGACATTTGCCACTCTGGCCTCCAGTTATCAGTGATGCAGGACAGAAGGATTGGCAAGTAACAACGTCTAGCCATCTTTTAAAGAACTTTAACATAACACCAGCTGACGAATTCGAGTGTATTGGTATTTTAAACCCCATGTTATTGTTTATCAATTTGACTTTCCTGCTGCTGCTTAACCCATGTTAGTGGTTAAACAATATCCGTTTCCAAGTCCTTCTCATCCATGTTGTAAGTGTTTAAACACCCATGTAAGTGTTTAGCAATCTGACTCCCCTAGTTCGTCCCACCCATGTAAGTGTTCAGCAATCTAACTCCCCTAGTGTTTCTCACCCATGTTAGTGTGTAACATTCTGGCTATCCTAGTGCGTCTCACCAATGATGGGGGTTGGGTGGCCGAATGGTTAGCACGTGCGCGCTGTATCATAAGGTCTGTCATTGAGTCAACTGGCGTGGTTTCGATTCCCCGGTTGTAGGGTTTTCTCCGGGTCCTCCTGTTTCCTAAAATTGCTAAAGACCCCTACGCGCAAGCGAATTATTGAAATAAAATTGAGCCATGTGTTAGTTCCGAAATGACCTAGTTTGTGTCCGAGTGGACGTTAAACCCGATTTCTCTCTCTCTTTCTCTCACGATAATTGATGAAAGATCCTTCAATAGAAACTGCCAAGCAGTGCCCACCACCACACCACCACCCTCAAGTGGCACCAAGAGTACGTGCCATACCTACGTGTATGTCACAGTGACCAGAACCATCCGTGAAGACTTTCTTATGGCTACAGTATAAGATCACCTTACGAGGACAATAATTCTGTTTCTAGCTGATTATCAGTTTATATAGGCTGGACAAGATCTTCCTTAGTGTGGCTAATTATATCTGCTGAAGTTAAACACGTAAATGGTGGGTTCATCACCTACGGTGGGATTTTTTTTGGTTTTTTTTGACTGCCTTATATAGATTGCAGCTGAATTATAGAGCAGTCAGATTTAAATACAGCCTTGAGATAACCATATGGCTATTCTTACTGTGATAAGAATTTCATTCAATAATACTCCACATTCTTGATTCGCAGTCAGACTGCATTTTGTTCGTGTACAGACGGAATACAGTTTATGAACATTCTTTTAACAATGAAGCGTGTTTTTATAGTCTGTTTATTATTCGTGACGTCATATTTTGACCACGTCACGTCAGCGGATATTGTAATAGATGTGACGCATCTAAAACCCATTCAGAATATTGATATGCGCTTTGCTAGTGTTACCATAGATACAAATCTCATTGTTCATTGGGCTGGACGAAATTATAAGTGAGTGAATTTTGTCATCAAATGGAGGTTTTGTACTAAAATAAGAATTGGATTCATTGGCTTTAATGGCAGGCATACCCATCAATGATACAGAGTGGGATGGGGCACACATCAAAAAGAGTACATGTCAATAATGTCGAGCAGTGCGAGTCGTCGAGTTTTCATTTTGGACTAATAATTGTAGATAAATAAAGCTACATGTTGTTTGGAGCTGGGGGAGTTATATAAAAAAAAATATGCGACCTTTAAACATCTTTGAGGAATGAAATAACGTCATCTGGTTTGAATCACAACTGATATTTCTATCAATAATTTCCTTTTAGTTCTCAAAGATTGAGGAATTTAATGAAGGCCCTGACACCATGTTACATGAGAGTTGGGGGTACATCAGCTGATTACATGGCCTTTAATGAAACCAGTCAGGATCATATTCTCAAGGGTAAATATCATGTTTTTATCATATTCTCAAGGGTAAATATCATGTTTTTTATCATATTCTCAAGGGTAAATATCATGTTTTTATCATATTCCAGTTTTAGAGTTGTATACTAGAGATATGTAGAAATGATATTGGGTTTATTTATTTTCTTTTTTTACGTTTCTGCAGCAACCCGTTTAATGTAGAATTAAAGACTTAATATGCATGAAATGCGTCTGTGTGTTCCTATAGGACGTAAAAACCGAGGTCTTGTATACAAATTGTTAGTACCCGTAAAACCGGTGTCTTGTACGCAAATTGTTGGTACCCGTAAAACCAAGGACTTGTATACATATTGTTGGTACCATAAAAAATCTATTCACAGTTGGAATTCGAAGGGTAGTTCCTAATCATCCGTTTAGTCCCGACCCTACCCCTCTTTTGGATAGGACAAAAAAAGATCACGGTCTGGTGTATACGTTACTCATGGGGCTCACGGGCAGCTGCCCAACATGAGTTATGAAAGTCTTTATTTTACATTTATACTGCAAGCATTTGTTTGTATTATATATTCATTATCATATTATTTTTTTGTGATGTATAGTATATATATATTAATTATTATATTTCCCCCCTCTCTCTATATTCCACTAATACACTATTTGTATTATATATTAATTATTATAATTCACCCCCTGTCTATATCCATTTAATACACGGTTTGTAGTATACCTTAATATTATATTTCACCTCTCTCTCTATATTCCATTAATATACTATTTGTATTATATATTAATTATTATATTTCACCTCGCTCTCTATATTCCACTATTACACTGTTTGTATTATATATTAATTATTATTATATTTCACCTCGCTCTCTATATTCCAATATTACACTGTTTGTATTATATATTAATTATTATTATATTTCACCTCGCTCTCTATATTCCACTATTACACTGTTTGTATTATATATTAATTATTATTATATTTCACCTCGCTCTCTATATTCCAATATTACACTGTTTGTATTATATATTAATTATTATTATATTTCACCTCTCTCTCTATATTCCACTAATACACTGTTTGTATTATATATTAATTATTATTATATTTCACCTCTTTCTCTATATTCCACTAATACACTGTTTGTATTATATATTAATTATTATTATATTTCACCTCGCTCTCTATATTCCACTATTACACTGTTTGTATTATATATTAATTATTATTATATTTCACCTCTCTCTCTATATTCCATTAATATACTATTTGTATTATATATTAATTATTATATTTCACCCCTCTCCATATATTCCATTAATACACTGTATTGTCTATATAGCCTGTGAAGAGGACGGTCGCACTTTTAACACAGTGAGATTCACCCATCCGTAACCGTTTTTAGGTTTTCAATTTTTGTTGAAATGGGGCCTGAAATTGCTATTTGGAGGATGCAAATTAGCTGTTGTCGATACAAAAGTGCATCTTTGAAGACATATGTTGGAATTATTCGACAGAATAATAGGATTATGACACTTTTGATAATCTCCACGCTGGTATTGCTGTTATCGGGTGATATCGAGAGTAATCCAGGCCCTTCTACCCGTCAAGGTCAGATCTCAAGGACCGGAGATATTGTTTATCCACAGGACAAAGATAAGGATTTAGACCTTATGACTGTGCTTCAATCATTAAAAGGTGATATAGCCGATATGAGACAAGAAATGCGAGATATGAATATTAAAGAAGAGTTTCTTAAACTAAAATCGGATGTGCATGACATGAAAACGAATTTTGTTAACTTCGGCTCAAAACTGGATTCACTGGAAAATAAAGGCAAAGAGAAAAATATTATTATCTATGGAATAGCAGAAACAGGCGATAGGAATGAAAATGGAGAAGAACTGGTAAGGAAAATTTTGTCTGAGGAATTTAACATTGACGGTTGTAAGAGTGACAAAGATATTGGGATTGAACGAGCTCACCGAATTGGAAAAAGAACGCCAAACGCAACAAGACCAAGACCTATGTTAATAGTGTTAAATAGATTAAAAGACCGAGACACGATTTTACGAAGTTGTAGACTACACCTCAAATCATTTGACTCTAATTTGAGAGTCGGAGAAGATTTCAGTGAACGAGTTCGAAAAATCAGAAGAGCGCTCATACCTAAGTTGAATGAAGTTAAGAAGAATAATCAAAATGCGAGAGCGTATTTGAAATTCGACAAGTTAATAGTTAATCAAGATGTGTATACGTTCGACCTTGAAGCCGAAAAGATAATAGTTCTAAGTGAAAACAACAAATAGCAAATCACATCACATCCGGAAGTTTCTGAATTTTATTCGAGTGTTAAAAAACTAAAATGTGTCTGTTGGAACGTAAATGGACTAAAGAGTAAATGTAAATTTGGCGATTTTAAACATTATTTGAGCCAATTTGATATTATATGTTTAATAGAGACATGGTGTGGAGATGACTTTAAATATTATGAAGTTCTTACAGATTATAAATATGAAGTATGTATTCGAGGAAATGGTAAAGAAAGGGGTGGGTTAGTCGTGTACTTCCGAGAAACTATAGCAGCTGGTATTGTTAGAATAAAGAGTTGTTATACAGAAACTATACTTTTGAAATTTAATGCTGCCTACTTTGGTTGGGAAAAGGATGCAGTGTTCTGTTTTGTTTATATTGCACCTGAAGGGAGTAAAGTACACACGAATGGCTGCCTGTTTGAACAATTTGAAGAAAACTTAGTTGAAGTTGAAAGTGAATATCCTGATGTAAATTTTATATTGGCTGGGGACTTCAATTCCAGATGTGGCCAGCTGAAAGATTATATATTAGATGATAACATAGAATATTTACCGGGTCTCGAAGATGCTGAATACAATACTGACGGTTTTGACATTCCAAGAAATTCGCAGGATAATGAAGTTAACAAATTTGGACTTAAATTAATACGCATGTGTGCTGTATTCAATGTTCATATGCTAAATGGGAGGAGTGATCGTGATAAGTTTGGTGCAATGACTTGTATAAAAAATAATGGTTCTAGTGTTGTAGACTATGTCATTACTTCCACTGAAATGTTCAATCTTATTGACTATTTTTATGTTCAATGTAAAGACGAATCGGATCATCTGCCCTTAGAATTCCATATTCAATGCCATGTAGAAGGTTTCTTAACCGAAAGTACAAATATACAGACAACCCCCTACAACAAATATGTATGGAAGCCCAGTAAAAAGGACGAATTCGCTATGGAGATAAATACGAACTTTGATAATTTTAATTTTGAATTCAAACATTTACTGTTAACGGAGGTGGACCTGGCTATAGAATGTGTAACGAACTTTATTAAATCTTGTGCAAAATCAATGAACAGCAGGAAAAGGTCATATCATTTTAAAACAGAGGAGCAACCGCCATGGTTTGACTCCGACTGTGTAAATAGCAAGAATAGTAAGTACTGCGCATTAGATAAATTTAGACTTAGTAATTCTGTTATTGATTTGAAACTATTTAATACATGCAAAAATAAATTCAAAGAATTGTGTAGTTTTAAAAAAATAGAATATAATCGACATGTCTGTAATCAGTTACTTCAAAATTTAAATGATCCAAGTAAGTTTTGGCAGACTGTAAAAGGTTTTCGTCAAAAGGTTTCGGTATCTGACAGAATAACCCCAAGTCAATGGGTGAACTACTTTGAAACACTGCTAAATCCAATAACTGATTCACAGAGAGTAGATAATATTAATATTAATATTACAATTAGTGAGTCTAGTAATATTTTAAATGAACCTATAACATATTATGAAATTAAGAAATGTATAGACAATATGAAAGCAGGTACTTCACCTGGTCCAGACGGTCTAGGAATTGATTTCTATAAGTCATGTGTAGAACTAATAGGCCCAGTTCTCACAACTTTGTATAATACCCTATTTGATGAAGGCAGATTTCCAAACTCGTGGTCAAGGAGCCTAATCACACCTCTGCACAAGAAAGGAACAAAACATGACCCATCAAACTACAGAGGCATATCTCTGACTGATTGTATCTTTAAAATATACTGTGCTGTGCTCAATAATAGATTACAAAATTGGTGTTGTGTCGAAAATAAGTATTGTGAAGCACAAGCAGGCTTTAGGAAAGGGTACTCTACTGTCGATAATATTTTTACTTTACATGGTCTTATTCAAAAATATCTCACAAAATCAAAGGGGAGAATGTATTCTTTATTTGTAGACTTTTCTCGTGCTTTTGACTCATTGAATCGAAAGAAACTATTAGCATTAATGCTAACAAAAGGTGTGAATGGTAAGATGTATTTAGCATTAAAAAGCATGTACTCCAATGTATTATCAAGTGTAAAAGTAGCATCCAACATAACCCCCTATTTTGACTGTTTATCAGGCGTTAAACAAGGATGCATATTAAGTCCTCTTCTATTTTGTTTTTATGTCAATCAACTCGTAGAAATGATGGAAGCTAGTGATGTAAGAGGGTTGTTCACTACGCAAGAAGCAAACGATATAATTATGTTATTATATGCAGATGATCTTAGCATATTATCAGACTCGGTTGGTGATTTACAAAGAAAACTAAATATTTTGTATAAATTTTGTACTAATTTTAATTTAAATGTAAACCTTTCAAAGACAAAGATTGTAATTTTTAGAAATGGTGGTATTACTAAGAATATCGAAGTGTTTTATTATAATAATGTAAAATTAGAAGTTGTTTCTTATTACAATTATTTAGGTATATTATTTTCGTCGCGATTATGTTGGAGTAAACCTTTGTATAGTTTAAGTGTCAAAGCTGATAAAGCTCTTATACCCGTAAAATGTCTTCTTAGAACTGTCGACTGTATATCCCTAGATCATGCTTTCAAAATATTTGATGTAATTATCAAGCCGGTATTGTTGTATGGGTCACAAGTATGGGGCTTCGAATACAGAGAAGATATTGAGAAAGTTCATAGTGCATATTGTAAATACATTTTAGGCGTACACAAATCTGGCACAACCGTAGGATCACTGGGAGAATGTGGCCGCTATGGTTTATCGGTATCTTATATTTCAAATTGTATTAAATATTGGGTCAAATTATTAAATATGACCTCAGATAGATACCCTAAGCAAGTATATATAATGTTGTGTAATTTAGATAGTGCTGGAAGGGAAACATGGGCGACCAAAGTAAAACATGTGCTTTGTTCTTTGGGATTCGGCTATGTATGGTTTAACCAAAATGTTGGAGACAAACGAATATTTATGACATTATTAAAACAACGATTAACTGATATTAACGCACAGGAATGGTCATCGAAACTAAACGAGAGCAGTAGTCTATCAGAATATAAATGTTTCAAGCTTAATTTAATTCCAGAACAATACTTGTCTGTACATATTCCAAAAGTAGCCAAAAGAAATATCACTCTGTTACGTTTAAACTTATTGCCATTATATGTAAATATGTTTAGAAGAAAATTAAGTAAAACAAATTTGTGTCCATTATGTGAATTAGAACCAGAAGATTCTTTTCATTTCATATGTAAATGTAAATTATTACAAGACACTCGTGTTAAATATTTAGATTTTGTAGACTCTTCCGATATTAATTATTTTTATAAATTGTGTACATATAAAGATAGAGAATTTTTATTATCTTTGTCAAATTTTATAAATGCAGCCATAAAGATTAGAAATCATCAAATTATGAATTAAACTGTTTATTGTAAATAAATTAACACTTTTTAAAATGTTCATAATAGTAGCTAATTTATTTATTTAATGACCTGTTTGATATATTTGTATACATGTATATATTTATTATTTATATATTTACAACCTTGTAACTTTGGGTCGATGACCTGTTTACTGAATAAAACATTATTATTATTATTATTATTAATACACTGTATTGTATAATAATTATTATTTTTCACCCCCTCTATATTTTCCATTAATACACTGTTTGTATTATATATTAATTATTATATTTGTTCGTATTATATGTATTAATTATATTTCAGTATCGGATTGGGATCAGTTGAATCGATTAACGAGAGAAGCCGGCTGGGATTTAATATTTGGTCTCAATTTGAGAATGCGGAAAAATGGTCACTGGGATCCAAAAAACGCCCTGAAATTATTTCAGTATACGATTAAAAAGGGATATCACGTTGCTGGCTGGGAGCTGGGGAATGGTAGGTTACTATAGAAACAAATATATGGGGTTTCACGTCCTAGTTTTATTCACCAAGAAAGTCGGGAGTTAAGTCATGTAGGGTTCTATGCGTAACATTGGGCCAGGACAAAGACTCTAGGGCCTGCTCCGGTAACATTGCTTTCATAGCACCAGAGCCGGATTAAACTTGCATAGGGTCCTTGAATTATCACTAAAAAGGGGGCGTGTCCTGGCTCCGAGTTACAAAGCATTCTTAGACTTAAGTTAAGAATTTACTCAAAGTTGTTCGTCTTATTTTAACTACAATATGGCCCTTTATAAAACTTTTGTTGTATTAATGTATCAAGTATATCAATAAGAAACTATACAAAGTTTTGTGTTTCTGGATCAAAGATATTTCTCATAAACAGTGATTGAAAGTTGAGTAAATTCTTAACTTAAGTCTGAGAATGCTTTGTGAGCTCGGGGCCTGGACATTATCCACCACTCGCAGAAATGCCATTTGTATGTCTGTATAGTAGATAGATAAATAGATGTATATGGCACAAATGCAACATAATGGCACTGAAATATTTTTAGAACTAATTTTGGGACCCCTTTAGTTTTGGCGCCGCTGGCTGCAGGCCAGTCACACTTATTTTTAACTCTTTAATTAATCCTGCACTGCATAGCCCAGTGCATATTCATGCCAATCTTCGTTACTCCGGCCATTGCAGAAAAATAGGACGCCAAGGCGTAGGACCCGGGCAGGAGAGGGGAGGCTGCACCCCCACCCCACCCCACCCCGATTCGGTGAACCGTCTTTTTTTTTCGGGCAATGCATTTCCATTTTTCGGGCACAAACATCAGAGAATGAGAATATATATCACAGAAATATAATTGTATAATTGTTAAATGAAATCGCTCGTGGTTTATGTTTAAATAGTATAATACTTAAGACCTAGTGCAATAACATTTTTGGGAAAACTCTTATAGTTAATAATCGATTTATTCTCGAAATTCGGGTGACAAAGAAAATTTACGGACAAACAGCCTCAGTCTCCAAACCGAGATTGGCCCCTACACCTAATATGGGACGTGAACCCCCATTTCGTTTCATTTAGTTTTAATCTAGTTATATTAAGGTGGTTCTTATTTTAATTTCAGAACCAGAGTATCATCACCCAGAGAAATTTACAGAAGAGAACATCGCATATAATTTTGGTCGTTTGAGAACCATTCTCGATTCTATACCGCAACTGAAACCTTACGTTCTCGTTGGTCCAGATGTAACGCATGTTCAACCACTCAGTCCGTAATAATATATAGATTTTCTTTATGGGTTTCTGTGTTACTCTGCAATCAAGGCTGGGTGAGGTGGGATATTGAAATTAACGTCCACTCTACACAAACTAGGTCATTTCGAGACTAACATAGAGTAAAACCTGTATCACTACAAGCCCGAGACTGTACATCGCAGTGGGCGGTTACGGCTACCACTCGGATCCATTCACTTAATTTGATATTATAAGTTGTTTTTTTCTTGCAATCCAATCACTTGATATGATTTTTGTTGTTTTTTATCTTACAATGTCTGTGTGGCTTGTCTTTGCCGCGGTTTTGTTGCTATTGTTTTGCACGGCGTGCGGTTCTCTTGCACTTGTATACTCTTTCAGTAATTCGCTTTTGCATAAGGACCTTTAGCATGAGAGGAAAACGGAGAACTCGGAGAATACACACGAAGTTGGACAGACGACCCTACTCTTTGTCGCATACAAATGGGAAATCGAAACCAAACCCCTTGATTTAACAGTCCTTATGATTTCAAACATACGCCAACTACCATTCTGCAAGCAAGGAGAATTTTGTTTAATGGTTGAAAGAGAGAGAGAAATGGGGTTTAACGTCCACTTGACACAAACTAGGTCATTTCGGGACTAACATATGGTTTAATTTTATTTCAATAATTCGCTTGCGGTGGGACGAAACCGGAGGACCCGGAGAAAACCCACGAGGTTGGACAGGCGACCTTACTCCTTGTCACATACAACCGAGGATTCGAAACCACGCCAGTCGACTCAATGACAGACTTTATGTTACAGCGCGCGCACGCTAACCATTCAGCCATCCAACCCCCCCTTTAATGGTAGAAAGATGTGAACGTCCAGACCTTACGTCTTCTGAAGACATGTTTTACAGGGATATTTGAATACAAGTTTGGCGACGCCATCTTGATATTTTAAACCAATAACTATTCGATATTTCGCCAAGACACAGGCGCAAAGTCTACTCTTGTTTCAAATTCCAAATGTCTCGACCAACATCGGGATGCAACACGGGACCTCCACGTTTGCCAACCAGAGCCTTGCACACTGAGCCACCATGGGTCTCTATAAATGTCTATTATTATGGTGTTGTTTATTTCAGGTTTCTGAACGGTGGTGCCACCCACGTGGTTGATGCTGTCACTATGCACCAGTACGTTTACTTATGTCACTTATTGTACTGTATGTAACTAGTATTATCATATCACTTTCAATAAATTAAAGGCCGTCACATCTTTATTCAAAAAATAAAATAAACAGGATACAAAATCGTGTATCTACCGTTTTTCGTAACAATGTGCAGCCATAAAAACAATAATAATCGTATAGTTAAACAATAAACGCTACTCGACGGAATTAAAAAGAGACAATACAGTTCATCCAACATTTGTAGTTGCGTTTATTTCTTCCGAAGAGGACTAGGATCTAGTTCTTAAGGCCAACTCAAGATTTCGTCAAGGTCGCTGAGATGTAAATAAGGTTAGGACAGGTGATTGTTGGTGGGATTGTAGGTTAGGTTTAAGAATTTGGGGGAGAGGTTAAGTCTCCACATAAGCACTGACCTAGGATGATGAAAAATTAGTTCGTGATATTTCCTAGTTTTATTAAAAATACATACAATACATTAGATTTATATACAAAGGCGATTTCACTGTTTATTGGTGTTGGTGGCGCTGATGGTCTTCCTTGGGTGGTGCTTCTGGTATTCTGGTATTATTGTTTCTGAAGAAAAAAGAAAATAAATTTGAGGCTCTCGGGAGAGAGCCACATTAGTGTGTTTCCTACTACGGATTGGATTTTCTAAAAAATCGTGTTTGTTCCACATCACCGGGTTAGGGCTAGGGATTCTTACATCTAATTGATTTTATTTACTAACGGTTAGGGATAGGATTTGATATATGGTTTGTTTTGGGTCAGGGTGGAGACTGGTCTTATTTAATCTAATTTACTGTGCACTAGGATGTCGTTCAGATTTTTATTTTTAGAATGTGCAATTATAAGTTTCTGTGTGAATATTTTCGGGTGATTTTCTTGGTGATCAGTATAGTGTTTTCTGATGATTTTGGATGCACTTGCTGCTGTTGCGCTAAATGGAACTACAAAAGGAGCTATTGCGCTAGCCGTATGAATATTCAAACCTAGGGGGGCTGTTGTTTTCAATTTGTCAATCCAGAATTTTTCTCTTGTTAGCCTAAACGTTTTAATTTCTTCTGAAGTTTCAAAGTCGCTCTTGGTCTTTTCTATTGGCGTGAAAATGAGATCAGAAATGTCGTGATTTGGTTGGTTGAAATGAATTGAGACAGGTTTGTCTTTTTTGGTGACTATGTCTGACCGGTGACCGTTAATTCTTTCCCTAAGTGCATTTTGAGTCTCCCCTACGTATTGCTTGTCACATTTTCTGCATGAAATTAGATAAATTATGTTTGAACTACTGCATGAAAGTTGGTCTAATATTGGGAATTTTGTGCCAGATGTTTTGTTATGGAAATGGTTGGATATGTTTAAGATTTTGCATGTTTGACATCTTGGATGGCCACAAATTTTGGTTTTAACTGCTGATTGTATATTAATTGTTTCTTTGGCGGCAAGCTCAGCGAGGTTTAGGATTAGGGTAAGCCTTAGGGCTAGGTCGAGGTTTAGGTTTAGGGTTAGCGCTAGCCCTGTTTACATCTTGTGACATTTGCCCAAATTTGAAGTTGACCTTTTGAAATAGATCTAACATCTGCAGAGGATGTCATATCAGTTATGCGTAATTTTAAAAATGTAGTTCTGCAGACATTGTCCTTGACATTCAATCCGTCCAACCATTTGTAAGTACTGCACACTTAATGTGAGAAGTGCATTTTGTCTTAAAGCAACCGTGCGTAATTTGCTTAATGTAACATTTGATTAAGAAAACAAAATTCAAATATCAACGCTAGCTAATCTCACGACTCGGATTCTATCGGATTTAAAATGTTAAGATGGCGGGTACCACTGATATAGGGGGCAGCATAGAACGGTGGAATTTCAGTTCTTGATATCTTTGAACGGAATTGAACCATTTGTGGGCTGACATTGCAGATTGGAAGAGATTCTGTATCACGCATATAGACTTTAATCAATGATTTTTTGTAGATATTATATGGATGCTAAAAAAGCAGAGATCACCGATTTCTACGATGTGGCCAAGTTGGATGAATTTAAAACTAAATGGATAGCACCAGCCATGTCTATAGCTAGAAACCGCGGTGTTCCACTCTGGTTGGGGGAAACATCTTCAGCATACGGTGGAGGAGTGGTTGATATGTCTGACAGATATGTGGCGGGATACATGTACGTTAATATTCAAACCAAATGATTTAAACCATACGAGATTCGCGATCGATCAGTGTGTAAGACGTTGGGTTGCTAACAAGGAGATCTCGCGTTCGCTCCAGGTGTTATCAGACAAGCCCACGTGGTTCCCTCTTGTCTGTGGTGCAGGACAAGGACGTTGTCCAATTGTTCGGATCGGCCGAAAAACCGAGGTCCAGTGTATACAATTTGGTGGACGGAAAATAACCCTTTACAGACCCACCCACCCCATCGCATAATCGGTGCAGCAAAGTAGGACGTTAAACCACATTCCATTTAAATCATTCGGCTTACACGCATACACGAACCAATAATTATTAAAGGAAGCATGCATGACGCAATACAGACACAGACAAATGGGTTGTCAAAACAAAAATAGTTTATAGTTTATTAAAAATACCTTCAGATGTTCTGGAAGGTATAATACACATATTATCCCAGGCAATACACCACCAATACCTCAGATTACTAGGATTAGTGCTAAATAATAAGGCCAGCTCAATTTTTCGTCATAGGTCACGAAATGTAAACAGGGCTAGCACTAATCCCAACCTTGACTCCAACCATGGATCTAGCCCCAATGCTTACCCTAACCTACAATCTAGCCAACAATCACGTTCCCTAACCTTATTTAAATCTCAGCGACCTTGACAAATATTTGAGCTGTCGTTAACAAATAGATATAGCCGATTACTAGTGATTTACTACTTTCGCTTCCACCAAGTTCAGTAGATTCAGTACTCCCATTTACATACTGCCAGATTACCATTGATGTAGAAAAGTTTATCATCTCTTTATTATTGTTGATGACAGGTGGTTGGATAAGCTCGGTGTGGCTGCATCACTGGGAGTAAAAATAGTCCTAAGACAAGATCTTATAGCTGGGAACTACGCATTGCTCGATGGAAATTATCATCCGTTTCCGGTAAGATGACTATATTATATTGTCTGGTTTGGGTTACAGTTCAAACCTAAGTGGCCGAAACAACGTTCATTCTCAATTATTTACCAGGCGTAGAACGGTCACTGTTTTGGGTTGGTGTGGGGTCTATCATTGAGTCAAGTGGCGTGGTATCGATTTCTCCGGGACCTCCGATCTCCTCTCGCTGCTAAAGATCTCTAAACGCAAGCGAACCATACGTTAGTGCTAAAATGAACTAGTTTTTGTCACTGTTAGATCACGATCTTAGTAGAAAGTCGATCAGTTGAGACGTGGGCTATTTATGGAGAGCGTCGCCAACAAGTTGATTACCAGGTGCATTTCATGTTCCTGAAGCAACGACTGCGAGTTTTACAACATCTGGACGTTGCTAGATTACATCACAATTCTCGAACTTATAGCTACGTTATCTACAGACACATGAACAGTAGCGTCCAATCACAGATTGTGACATTGCGACCTCCACGGAGACCTTGACATTGAACGAACCTTGAACTTTGCAACTCGATTATCACAGGTAGACATTTTAGCTTGAAAGCGCGAGACTTGGTATTGGCGACGACCGAGGAATCTGATAGGCTCACAAACTGGGCGTGTAACCAATCAAAATAAGTGCCAAAATATGCAGGGAATTACGTGAATGCCTTGATAATATTTACGTAGTTAAAGCGAGATCAAGCCTTCTATTGAAGATGTGTGTATTTAGGAGGAGTGGGGTTCTCCATTCGGCAACAAGCACCAGATGCCACCCATTGCCCAAGCTTTACATGTTTCCTCTAAATATATTATGGCGGCCAATTTTGGATCATCAGGATGTATGATATGTTAAAACATATATCTCTGGTATCTAAACCTACATTTTATTTACAAGGTCAAGGAATACGATCATTCCCTATAGAAATGTAACCATTTTCACCAAATATATTATGGCGGCCATATTCTATCTCAAAATTGGAAAGTTAGTGGATACTATTATTTCTCATCCACCCTTAAATCTACTCGTAACCTGCCTGGCTATATCTATAAGGATCAATACCTGACTAATTTATTGTAGGATTATTGGTTAACAGTTTTATATAAAAGACTGGTAGGAAGTCCAGTTTTAACTCCACCAACATCTAACAATAAAAATGTTCGAATCTACGCCCATTGTACCAACACACACAGGTAAAAAAAATAGTTAATCCTTGGTTAAAGTCACTGATACGTACACAGGTAAATAATATACCATCCTTGGATAAATTCTTTGATCGTAATTTAATGGATTTACTCCTACAATATTGTGAAAGTTAAAGCGTTTTTTTTTAATATTAAGTTTAACAATACAATTACAATAAATTTGCTAAAAATAAATAAACGTTAAAATGAGTTTCGACTTCAAATACAACCGGCACTTATCTGGCGGGTGTCATATTGGGTGAGACACGGTGACTCAATGAGTAAGACGTTGGCTCGTTAACCTGCAGGTCCCGTGTTGGCGGATTTTTCCGGCGTGGTTCCTGCTTGTCAGTGGTGCAGGACCGATGGCCAGGAAAGGGACAACATATAGTCATTCCGACGAGACGAAATCCGAGATCTTACGTGCACGCAAAAGATCCCTTGCCAGTTGGAATATGATATAACAGTAGGTCATAGCGCCGCCGTCGGGGCAAAATGTTCTTCATATGGCGTATGCTCGTCTCCATGAGCCCAGTCGGGCAGAACAGTAGGACGTTAAACCCGATTTTATTTCAGTTCCATTTCATTTTTGTTTTCGCTGTAAGAAAACGTTATAATGTGACAATGATTATCTATGTAATCCGTATATTTTGAAATGAAATGAAATGGGGTTTAACGTCCTACTGTTCTGCTATTAAACTTGGCTAATGAAGACGGACATACGTCATACAGTGTGCTATGAGGGAAATATTGCCCGGGCAACGGCGCTACGGCCTACTCTTATATCGAATTCCAACTGCCAAGGGATCTTTTACGTGCACGCCAATGTGTACACGGGACCTTCGAACGACTAGACAGCTGTCCTTGTCAGACCCTCCGTCCTGTATCACTGACAAGGGGAAACCACGCCGGAAAAGCTGGATGAACTTTCTCGGCCAATGCAGGGATGGAACACCCGACCCCCAGGCTAGGGAGCCAGCGCCAGCGTCTTACCCACTTATCCCCCCCCCCCCCCCATATATTTTCATTTTAACTATTTATATATTATATACAGGATTACTTTTAATTATTTAATTATATTATTTTTTAATTTTGTTATTTTTTAATTTTGTTATCTATACATATAAATATATATTTATGTGTATTGTTTAATTTGGCGCCATATAGATCGATTGTAGCTGACGTACCATTGAATTCTTTTTATTTTTCCAAAATGTATTATATTACATCCTCTAGATCCCTCAATGTATTATATTTTATCCTCTAGTTATCTAATACAATGTATTATATTACCTAGATCACAAAGTTATCTAATACAAAGTATTATATCCTCTAAATCACAAAGTTATCTAATACAATGTATTATTTCATCTAGATCACAAAGTTATCTAATACAATCAGGGGCGTACCCCCCCCCCCCCCGAAAGAAAAATAGTCGGTCGCAAAATCACTGCAGTCGGTCGCAAAATAAGAGCAGTCGGTATCAAAATAAGTGCTCGCTGCATACGTCACGCTACTCACGCAAAACTTTAGTATAAAATATCCTTGTCAAATGTGTTTCACTCTTATTCTGTTGTGAGTATGTTGGTCTATGAACAAAATTTCCCCCAGGAAGAAAAATAGTCGGTCGCAAAATAGGAGCAGTCGGTATCAAAATAAGTGCTCACTGCATACGTCACGCTACTCACGCAAAACTTTAGTATATAATAACCTTGTCAACTTATCATGTTTGAAAAAATGTTGTGTTTCACTCTTATTCTGTTGTGAGTATGTTGGTCTATGAACAAAATTTCCCCCAGGGACAAAAATAGTCGGTCTCAAAATAAGTGCAGTCACTGCAGTCGGTCTCAAAATTATGCATCGGCGACTCAATGAATTAATGAGGTAAACAAACAATGCCAGAATAGATCCCAAATACATAGTATTTGGGTCAGTCCGTGAGCCTAAATTGCATACGTCACACAAAACTATAGTATAAAATAACCATGTCTGCTTGTCATGTTTGAAAAAATGTTTGTCACTCTTATTCTGTTGTGATTATGTTGTTCTATGAAATTTTTTTCCCCCATGGCAAAAAAATAGTCGGTCTCAAAAAAAGTACTCACCGCAGTCGGTCTCGGACTAAATGAATTAATGAGATAAACAAACAATTACAAAACAGGCGAAATTGACAGATAGGCCACAAGATTCTGTCTCATTTCTTATCCTCTCGTTAGCGAGAATTTGGTTCCATTTGCCATGACAATGACTTAAATTTTCAGGCCCAGTCCCGAAAAATTAAAAGTTCGGTTACATATCTGAAATTTGTTCGCACCTGCGGCGCTCGATTCCGTTATAACATCATTCTTCTATTCCTCTGTTTTCTTATACTGTCTCAGCACTATCCTACTGGGGTATGTGCATCAGTCGGTCGCATTTTGGCTAAACACCCCCCCCCCCAAACAAAAGTTATGCACGCCCCTGAATACAATCTATTATATTTTATCCTCTAGTACTCACAGTTATCTAATACAATATATTATATTATATCCTCTAGGTCTCACAGTTATTTAATACAATGTATTATATTATATCCTCTAAATCTCAAAGTTATTTAATACAATGTATTATATTTTATCCTCTAGTTCTCACAATTATCTAATACAATGCATTATATATTATCCTCTAGTTCTCACAATTATCTAATACAATCTATTATATTATATCCTCTAGATCTCAAAGTTATCTTATATAATGTATTATATTTTACACTCTAGTTCTCACGGTTATTTAATACAATGTATTATATTTTATCCTCTAGATATCACAGTTATCTAATATAATGTATTATATTTTATCCTCTAGATCTCACAGTTATTTAATACAATGTATTATATTTTATCCTCTAGTTCTCACAATTATCTAATACAATCTATTATATTATCTCTAGATCTCAAAGTTATCTTATACAATGTATTATATTTTACGCTCTACTTCTCACAGTTATTTAATACAATGTATTATATTTTATCCTCTAGATCTCACAGTTATCTAATATAATGTATTATATTTTATTTAATATAATGTATTATATTTATTACAATGTATTATATTTTATCCTCTAGTTCTCACAGTTACCGACGAGGTAGTGTTACTATATATATGATGAATTTTATGAATACTCAAGTGATGATTAATCTAGGGCCATTTTCTAATAAACCGGCGGATGTTTACATTTTGACACCTGGACCTCTTAATGGTCTTAAATCAAGGTAACACATTTGTTTTAACAAGTACCGTTGCTACGATAATAAACAATATATACCACTTCTTATTAAAACTTCAAACAGTGATAACGTGGTTCAGATTACAGTAATGTGAATGAATATTTCAATATATTCAGTTTGCATTATCTATCTTGGAACTATTATAGCAGAAACGGGCATTTCTTTATCTAAATCTTACATAATGGATCTTTAAGACAGCTACTATCCTGTCTTAACTTAAAATGACAAAAATAAGGACCCTAATCAGGACAGCAGGCCCCTCTCACCCCCCACTCCAACCAAAATAAGGCTGGTTACTGTATTATTTTTATATTTGATTTCAGCACGGTGAAGTTGAATGGTAAAGAACTACTACTATTAAATGATCTAGACTTACCTCCCCTGTCACCACAGCAACACACGGGTGATATACAGGTCGGACGAAAAGCCATGGCGTTTATTGTTGTTCCTGATGCTAATCACCAAGCATGTTTATAGAAAACAATAAGTTGTAGGCTAATATAAAGGTTTAATATGGGTATATAGAATCATGTCTTCTTTTCGTCGATTGGACTGCGCAACGATATGGGAGTTCACGTCCTATTTTTCTGCTATATCTAGGATAATGAAGATCGTCCTACGGTACTGCACCAACCGGACTAACGAGAAAGGGCATGCGGCCCAATGCACAACTGTAGTTAACCGCAGTTAGACTTAGTTAACCGCAGTTAGACCTAGTTAACCGCAGTCAGACTTAGTTAACCGTAGTTTAACGTAGTTAGGCCTATAAATGTAGTTTGGATTTAAAGAAACCATGGATTTCAAAGTAGTTCAAAACATCTGTACGGTGATCTTGGATGACAAGTCCCTGCTGCGACCGTAGTTTGGAGGTAGTCTACCCTAGTTAAATCCAGTTGAACGTAATTGCCCTCTTTGTGATGTCCGTAAATTGTGTTATGTCCGTGGGTTTGTCTTGTTTAATTGTGTGGTGCAGAACTTACTATTATGAAAGACAACTGGCGAGATCAATGACAATAATCAAAAGAAATTGCGCATAAACACAAGATGGGATATCTCATTTATCAAATTGTGCAGGTCTAAATAAATATCTGACAATAAATGAAATATTACTATACAATTTATCACATCAGAAATTAATTTATAATAATTTTACTCTCGTTACTTATCTGCGACATGTTTTCATGGTGGTTTCTTTCAAAAATGATTAATAACTATAGTTTCAAATATTGCTATAAAATCACATCCATATTATGCAATACTCATCTGGACGATTGTTTAATTTGTTACTTAGTCATAAATGGGTAAGTTTCTTTACAGTTTAAGAAATTAATTATATTGTACTTTAAATTTGGAAGACGCAGTGGCTCGCTAATCAGGAGGTCTTGGGTTCGCGCCCAGTGTTTGCCGAGAACGTTTCGCGGATTTTCCTATTTTTGCGGCGGGGGGGGGGGGGGCCTGGCAAGGTACAGTGTCTAGTCGTTCGAATGGGACGTAAAAGAACCCTTGGGAGTTTGAATTGGAAATAAGAGTAGGCGGTTGGGTCGCTGTTCGGGCAAAATTTTGATCATAGCCTACTGTATGGGATGTATGCCATAATACGCCAGCGCAGGTCAATAATGGAAATTAAAATATTTTGGCATAACTAGAATATAGAACAAAGGCTGTCGGTGAGATCGAATACTTCTCAGATTCAATCGGGCTAATGAAGACGGACTATGACTGAAATTTGCCAGGACAGAGGCGTTGCCGCATGATCGTCCTCGAATGTCAGCCGTTAAGGGCTGTTATACGTGCTCGCAAATATGTACGTGCCTTTTCCTGTTAAATCCACAGTATTGTACCACTGACAAGGTGGGACCCGGCTGGAAAATCTCGGTCAATACCCAGAACGGTAAAAGTCAGAAATGTAGATCGGATCGTAAGTGCCTGCGCTCGTCAAAGCGTACGCAGACACCTGTAATAGTATAATAAGAAGGTCAAATACCTGACAACTGGGACCCGCATCGAGTTTCTCTCATTCAAAGCGACATTTGACATTTTCCCTAGATAATGGGGGCACTGAGATGTTTTAGAATTTGACATGCTGTGGTTAATTTCTACAATTAAGAGACAATCCTCTATGTTATTGGGGGGTCACGGTGACTAAGTGGGTAAGACGCTGGCTCGCTAGCCTGGAGGTCGGGTGTTAGATCCCTGCATTGGCCAAGAAAGTTCATCCAGATTTTCCGGTGTGGTCCCCCCCTTGTCAGTGATGCAGGACGGAGGGCCTGACAAGGACAGCTGTCTAGTAAAAACCGAGGTTCCGTGTACACATTGGCGTGCACGTAAAAGATCCCTTGACAGTTGGAATTCGATGTAGTGCCATTGTCCGGGCAAACTTTCACTCATAGCACACTGTAAGGCGTATGCCCGTCTTCATCAGCCCAGTTCGGAGCAAAACAGTAGGACGTTAAACCCCATTTCATTTCATTTTCATTTCTATGTTATTGGGGGCGGGGTTAGTTGGCCGAATGGTTAGCACGTGCATGCTGTGTCATAAGGTCTATTATTGAGTCAACTGCCGTGGTTTCCTTTCCCCGGTTGCACGTGACAAGGAGCAGGGACGCCTGTCCAACCTAGTGGGGTTTCTACAGGACCTCCGGTTTCCTCCCACTGCTAAAGAACCCAACGCGTAAGCGAATTATTGAAATAAAATTGAACCATGAGTTAGTCCCGAAATAGCTAAGTTTGTGTCGAGTGGACGTTAAACCCCATTCATCTCTCTCTCTCTCTCTCTCTCTCTCTCTCTCTCACTCTCTCAGACGTTAAACCCCATTTTATTTCATTTAATTCATATTTTTATTTTAAATCGCAGGTGTGGTAATTTTATCAAATCCCGTAAAGATGTTTGTATGCCTCGTGGTGATCACTCTTGTGTCTGTTGGTGCTGGTACAAAGAATGAATTTACGTGTTTTAAGTCTATGAAGAGGTGTAGGAATTGGTGTGGTGGGCATGCCCAAAGTCCTGATGGTGCTGGATATTACTGCAACGATTACTGTCAAATTGTCGAAAGAAAACGGTTTGGTTATTGTGAAGTACAAACAAATACATTATATTGCCCAAACCAGGTTGATATCCCATATGCTTACCAATGTAGATGTTCAAATGAACCACCATCTCAGTCTTCGAATGAAGTCGGTCCCGATCCATTGTCTCGTTCTGGAAGTAAATCGAAGAAAGACTCCAAATCTGATTCTGAAAATAACTCCAAATCTGATTCTGAAAATAACTCCAAATCTGACTCTGAAAATAACTCCAAAACTGACTCTGAAAATAACTCCAAATCTAATTCTGATTCTAACTCCAATTCTGATTCTAACTCCAATTCTGATTCTAACTTAAAATCTGATTCTAACTCAAAATTTGATTCTAACTCTAAATCTGATTCTTCCGAAGACGAAAATGGGAGAATTTGTTTCAGTACCAGACAGAGTTGTGAGGCTTGGTGTGGTGGATACGATGAGAGTCCGTTTGGTGATGGATATTACTGTAATGAGTATTGTCAGTTTGTGGAGGGTCTGGCTGGCGGTCGATGTGTATACCACGGTCATACCGGAACATGCCCAAATAGAATCGGCGTACCATATGCGTACCAATGCTTATGTTATGGAAGAAAATCTCCAACAAATTGGAGGGGTTGATGAATAAAACTGACGCATTGTATTCCAGTAATAATAATAAATTATACAGCAAGCCTACTCGCTGTGTTTGTCGATTTTATTATTTTAGCGAATATTATATGTAAGCCGATTAGTAACCTTTCAAAGTGCCACGGTGAAATGCAGGACCGGTATTACGGGGGGCGGAGGCGGGGCCCTTCTCCATGAGACCCAGCAAGCTGCCCCCTTGAGACAAAAGAAGAAATTATTGCAAAAATGGACTTTTTTGCAAAACATGGTTCCCTCGACGTTCTACTTTTACAATATATCAACCATTTTTGCAATGAAATTTCGATAATGAAAAAACATTTCTCTGTAATGAAAAATAGGTATGAAAATGAAGTTACTGGTGATAAGAAGAATGATGAATGCATCAATAATGATTCTAACAATCATCAGTGGTTTAAAAAAAATGACTATGATGAAATCGACAAAAGAGACAATTATTGCAGAAATAGTTTTTTTGCAAAAAGAGAAAATTATTGCAGAAATAGTTTTTTTGCAAAAAGAGAAAATTATTGCAGAAATGGTTGTTATTGCAAAAATGGTCCCGTGCTGTTTCTAATTTTGCAAGATCGCAATAATTTCATTTTATTGCAAACAATGGTTGATATTGCAAAAGGTCTGCTTGATTCCATTATGTCATTATTCTACCACTCCCCTGTGGTCTTATACTATCTCATCATTATCAGTTATTAGTACCACAAGTGATAGGGTACCACTTCACGTTGCTCACATCCAAGCACCCCCACTCCCTTCCTAAAAATCCTGCCCACTGCCCCTATGGTTCACAAACAAAAATATAATAACAAAATCAATAACCATCTTAATATGATATGAACTTAATATCAGCTTGATGAAAACTGCTTTCCGACGAGATAACGATCGGGGAACAGTGCGATCTATATTCTACCGAGGGGCTTAGCCTATATTTTGTTCCAATCATTGCCATTCTGGATGTCGAGCTAGATTTGGACCAGCCCCAACCCCCCCCCCCCATTCACAGCTTGTAGATACGTTCCTGGTCAAATAGTCCTTAATCTCTCTTAGTTGCCGCTTCGGAGGCAAGAAATACACAGTTTGGAGGTAAGAAGGCAAGCGATGAACAAAATGGGGTTTAACGCCTACTTTTCTGCACCGACTAGGCTAATAAAGACAGACATACGCCAAGAAGTTTACTACAAAAGAAAATTAGGCCTGCTCTTATATCGAATTCCAACTGTCGGGCACACGTGAACTTAGTTTTTCGTTCCATCCAGGTGACTATATAGGGGCTACCCAGTACCACTGACAAGGGGAAACCACGCTGGCAAATCCTGGGTCTCTCCAACTCAGGGGAACAAGACTGAGGGTTTGCCAGGAAAAGGCGTTTACACGTTGACTTACTTGTGAAACAAACCTTGACATATAGCTGTTATTGGCTAATTAAAACACGACGGGATAGAGTTTTTCTAACATTCTATAGCAGGGGTTAAAACTGTAGAATGGAAGATTTCATGCGTACCAAAGTGAAACTCATCCAAGAACTTTTGATCCTCAACACATAGTTTAATTTTCATCTTATGAATCGGACAAAAACTGGCGCCTCTGGGAGGTCCACAAACGTCATTCATATTTCACATTTTGCGTAAAAGGCATTTGGCATAACTCCAGAACGGAAGGTCCAATGAGCACCAAACTTGAACTCGCCCAAGAACTAGTGATACTTAAGCACTTCTTTTAAGTTTCATCGAAATCGGATAAAAATTGTTGCAACCTTGGTATTATGTACCTACTTTTACGCCATTTGACGGGAAGTTTCGGTACGATTTTCTGTAAATTGTGTTATGTCCGTGGTTTAATTGCTTGTGTGTGGTGCAGTACTTACTATTATGAAAGACAACTGGCGAGATCAATGACAATAATCAAAAGAAATTGCGCATAAACACCAGATGGGATATCTCATTTATTAAACTCTGCAGGTCTCCATGTTCTAAATAAATGACAATAAATGACAATAAATGAAATATTACTATAAAATTTATCACCTCAGAAATTAATTTATAATAATTTTACTTACACCTCATTACTTATCTGCGACATGTTTTCGTAATGCTTTTTTTTTCAAAAATGATTAATATCTATATCTATGTTTTGCTCCGAACTGGGCTAATGAAGACGGACATGAGGGAAATTTTGCCCGGCCTACTCTTATCTCCAATTACAACTGTCAAGGAATCTTTTACGTGCACGCCAATGTTTACACCTGACCTCGGTTTTTCGTCCCATCCGAACGACTAGACAGCTGTCCGTGAAGGCCCTCCACCCTGCATCACTGACAAGGGGGAACCACGCCGGAAAATCTGGATAAACTTTCTCGGCAAATGCAAGGATCGAACATCCAACCTCCAGGCTAGCGAGTCAGTGTCTTACCCACTAAGTCACTGTGGCCCCAGAATATAGAACAAAGGATGTTGGCGAGATAGAATACTTCTCAGATTCATCCGGGCTAATGAAGACGGACTATGACTGAAATTTGCCAGGACAGTGGCGTTGCCGCATGATTGTCCTCGAATGTCAGCCGTTAAGGGCTGTTATACGTGCGCGCAAATGTGTACGTGCCTTTTCCTGTCAAATATGTACGTACCTTTTCCTGTAAAATATGTACGTGCCTTTTCCTGTTAAATCCACAGTCGTGTTCCACTGACAAGGTGGGACCCGGCTGGAAAATCTCGGTCAATACCCAGAACGGTAAAAGTCAGACACCTGTAATATAATAATAAGAAGGTCATATATACTGGACAACTGGGATCCGCATCGAGTTTCTCTCATTCAAAGCGACATTTGACATTTTCCCTAGATAATGGGGGCACTGAGATGTTTAAGAAATTGACATGCTGTGGTTAATTTCTACAATTAAGAGACAATCCTCTATGTTACTGGGGGGGGGGGGGGTCACGGTGGCTAAGTGGGTAAGACGCTGGCGCGCTAGCCTGGAGGTTGGGTGTTCGATCCCTGCATTGGCCAAGAAAGTTCATCCAGATTTTCCGGTGTGGTCCCCCCTTGTCAGTGATGCAGGACGGAGGGCCTGACAAGGACAGCTGTCTAGTAAAAACCGAGGTTCCGTGTACACATTGGCGTGCACGTAAAAGATCCCTTGACAGTTGGAATTCGATGTAGTGCCATTGTCCGGGCAAACTTTCACTGATAGCACACTGTATGGCGTATGCCCGTCTTCATCAGCCCAGTTCGGAGCAAAACAGTAGGACGTTAAACCCCATTTCATTTTCATTTCTATGTTATTGGGGGCGGGGTTAGTTGGCCGAATGAAGCTGGTCCCGATTCATTGTTTCATTCTGGAGGTAAATCGAAGAAAGACTCGAGCTCTGATCCTGAAAGTAACTCCAAATCTGACTCTGAAAATAACTCCAAATCTGATTTTGAAAATAACTCCAAATCTGACTCTGAAAATGACTCCAAATCTAATTCTGATTCTAATTCAAATTCCAACTCAAAATCTGATTCTAACTCAAAATTTGATTCTAACTCTAAATCTGATTCTTCCGAAGACGAAAATGGGAGAATTTGTTTCAGTACCAGACAGAGTTGTGACGCTTGGCGTGGTGGATACGATGAGAGTCCGTTTGGTGATGGATATTACTGTAATGAGTATTGTCAGTTTGTGGAGGGTCTGGCTGGAGGTCGATGTGTATACCACGGTCATACCGGAACATGCCCAAATAGAATCGGCGTACCATATGCGTACCAATGCTTATGTTATGGAAGAAAATCTCCAACAAATTGGAGAGGTTGATGAATAAAACTGACGCATTTTATTTCAGCAATAATAATAAAATAAGACAACAAGCCTCCTCATTATGTTTAGCTATTTTATTATTTCGTGCACGTTCTTTTTCACTCCTTCTTGTCTTCGCATTAACTTAAAGCGGGACGGTGAAACCATGAATTCGTGTAAAATCCCCCCCGCCAATACCTCCCCTGCGACGTTCGATTCCATTACGTCATCATTCTTCCACTCCTCTGTGGTCTTATAGTATCTCATCACTATCAGAAGCCACAGTGGGTAAGACACAGGCCCGCTAACCTGGAAGTTTATCGGGATTTTTCAACGTGGTTTCCCCTTTGTCAGTGGTGTAGGACGGAGGGCCTGACAAGGAAAGCTGCCTAGTCGTTCGGATGGGACGAACACCCGACGTCCAGCGTACCACTGCCACTAAGGTTCACAAAATCAATAATAATACCAATAACAATTTTAATCGTTATATGATATGAAGTTTATGTCAACTTGTAGAAAACTCCTTTCCGGCGAGATGATGATCGGTGAACAACGTGATATATGTTCTACCAGCGCGCTCAGTGTTATAGCCAGTATTTTGTTGCCATCCATGGTGTTGTTGGATGCTGGATGTCGTCCTAGATTTGGAACCGCCCCACCCCCTCCCATTTCACAGCTTCTTGATACGTTACTGGTCAAATGTTCCTTAATCTATCGCAGTTGGCGCTTCAGAGGCAAGAAATAATCCGCGCGGAGGCAAGAAGGCAAGTGATGATATGAAATGGGGTTTAACGTCCTACTTTTCTGCACCGACTGGGCTAATGAAGACAAGACATACGCCATGAAGTGTGCTATGAAAGAAATTAGGCCAATACAGTGCCGCTATGGCCTTCTCTTATACCGAATGCCAACATTCGGGGGTTCTTTTACGCGCACACCATCGTGCATAGATGAGCTCAGTTTTTCGTACCCGGAAAAATCATGGGTATGCGCAAGTCAGTAATACAAGACTGAGGGTTTGTTACGAAAAGGGCGTGTACACGTTGACGTACTCGTGAAACCACCCTTGACATCTGTCATTCATTTGCTGTCTGGACAAACTTTTCCTCATGGTACACTGCAATCTGATTAAAACACAGGTCCTATTTCGTTTCGTTTTTTTGTTTTTATATTTCAAAATTTTGTTTTTATATTTCAAAATTTTGTTTTTATATTTCAAAATTTCGTTTTAGTTGTCTTTAGTACATTAGGATCTGGAAGAATTGTTATATACCCCGCGTTGTTCTGGATGATGTGAGAGCTTGGCTAATGAAACGGTCTGTTACGGCGAGTTTTTGGCGTGGTGAGTTGCATGGAACTTTGAGTAAACCACTAACGTCAACGCTGTTTGATTAATCAGTGTTTGAAGTCTTTAGGTCAAAACGCCGCTCGTATGACACCTGACGCGACCTTCAACTACCACTGGTCAGATCTTCATGTAGTGTAGGCCGTCGAAAATATAGAAAAACCGAAACGAAATATACATCTGTATTTTAATCAGATTAGGTAAACTGTAAGGCGTATACCCGCCATTCATTCCCACTAGAGCTATCGTCGAAGTAAGTAAGTCAATTGGGTTTAGTCGTTAGGGGTGAAAGTAATTTTTCAGTTGTTATTCTGTCCCATTGGTTATATAGTGCAGACCATATTCCTGAAACAATGACTTTATTTGACGTCCACTTCCACCGAAGTGATATTGCAGACAGCTTCTGTTTGACTTTTTTGACTTTGGTGATATTTATATGGCTTGGCTGTTTTTATAGAATATTTCTAAACAAGTAGACCACATTGTGTTTCCACGAATCAATATGAAGAAATTTTGTACCGCGCTGCGATTTGCCGAACAGTTTCGTCACTTGTCGTAGACGACTTAATGTCACGGTGGAAGCAACAATGTATTAAATTATGTATGATAACCCACAATTACGGTACTCGATTACAACTAAAAACTTCCTTCTGAATTAATCCACTACTGAGTTGGTCAAAGGCCACAAAGTCTCAGCTACTTCCATTCTACCTGAATGGAACTCAAACTGTAGATTGGGCGTGGCCGACAAATGAGGGGGTGGGGGACAATGTCCAATATCGACTACCCAGAAGGAGATTTATACGGACAATTTATATTGACGCGGTTTTATCCCTAAATAGCCTCCTCGACGGCTTTACGTTGAAATATACTATTGTTAACGATATCCGAATGGTATGTAACTCACAATTCAAATTAGGGTTAGGGTTTTTCCCTTTAATCCTGTTTTAGTAATTAACCTTTAAATCGCTAAAATCCCGTAGTTGCAGGGACCAGTGCGTGCTAACACTTAAAACACCGCGTTGAGAACCCACCCAACTTCTTTAAATACAAAGATACAATTCCAATTCTCGGGGGTTGAACTTTCAATGTTTTTGTTTCGATACTAGCGAAATGAGATGGGGCTTAACGTCTCGCCTATCTGCACCAACCGTGCTATGGTTAAATCTATTTGTTAAGGCCAGCTCAATTTTCATCAAGGTCGCTGAGATGTAAATAAGGTTAGGGCACGTGATTGTTGGCGAGATTGTAGGTTAGGGTTGGGTTATGAATTGGGGCCAGGTCCCGGGTAAGGGTTAGGGTCGGAATTAGCGCTAGGCCTGTTTACATCTCGTGACCTTTGACCAAACCTGCCTTATCAAATAGATCTAAACAATGTGCTGTGGGGTCAATTGTGCGTGAACAGCCGGGATTTCTTTTATGTTAATTTCAAACTATTAGTTAACCTTGCTTACACCAAACATCGCCTTTTTGATGCCTGTGGTAGCCGAGAAATGAAATGAAATGAAATGGATAACGTCCTACTGTTCTGCTCCGACTGGGATAATGAAGACGGGCATACGCCATGCAGTGTGTAAACAGGACCTCGGTTTTTCGTCCCATCTCGATGACCTTTCTCCGCCAATGAAGACCTCCAGGTATCGAGCAAGTTTCTTACCCACTTAGCCACCGTAGCTCCTGGTGGCCGAGAAAGTTCCCCGTCTTGTCGTTCGAAGTGAGCTAAAATAGAAATCTCGTATACACGTTGTTATGCATGTAAAAGGACCCTTGACAATCTTAATTGGAAATAAGAGTAGCCCATAGCGCCGCTGTCTCGGCACAATTACCCTCACAGCACACTGTGTGGCACATTATTCCGGTTGAAACAGGAAAGAAAGACGCTTCGATGTTTCAATTCATGCAATACCTGCCTAGATCATAAGGTATATTATCTATACAGGTCTAAATGGGGTTTAACGTCCTACTGTTCTGCTATACTGGGCTAATGAGGACGGACACGGACATACACCATACGCCATACAGTGTGCTATGAGGGAATTGTACACTACGGTCTACCCTTATAATGAAACCAACTGCCAAGTTCGGTTACGTGCACGCCGATATGTACACGGGACCTCGGGTTTCCGCCACATCCGAATGACTAGACAGCTGTCCCTTACAAGGAGAAACCACGTTGGAAAATCCCAACGAACTTTCTTGGCCAATACCGGGAGCGAACATGTCAACGTAGCTCGGTGCAAATTGTTGAGTGAGAGGAGGGGCCATGAGGTCGAGTTACAAGAAGTGGGATCGTTATTGAAAGCAAAATGATAGGTTAGTTTAAAAAATTATCTAATAATTGTTTATTGGTCCTCTTCCTCCCGATTCTGTTGGAATTCGACAAAGAGTACTCTAAAAAAACGCTTCTGGACAAAATCACCCAACCCCTGCAAACTTAGAAATTAGAATATGAATCTCGAAATGACAAACTCAGTTTTGACATGTTAACCTCCAATCGCAATTTCTTACTTTGGAGAATCCACTTACTTTGTTCGAGTCGATTAGAAAGGGGGTGGTTAGCACGTGTCCGCTGTATCATCATAAGGTCTGCCATTGGAGTCGACTGGCGTGGTTTCGATTCCCCTGTTGTACGTGTCAAGGAGTAGGGTCGCTTGTCCAACCTCTTGGGTTTTATCCGGGTCCTCCGGCTTCCTCCCACTGCTACAGATCCCTAAACGCAAAGCGAATTATTGAAATAAAATTGAATCATGTGTTGGTCCTGAAATGGCCTAGTTTGTGTCGAGTGGACGTTAAACTCTATTTCCCTTCCCTAAAGTCGATTGTTGCTTGGACTTTGTTATTTTGATACAGTTAACAATTTATTGTATTAAAACAACCTGAAAGAAGGGGAGGGGGTCTAGTGGTTGAATGTTTAGTCAGTTGTTCTGATGGGACGAAATACCGAGTTCCTGTGTACACGTGGGGGGAGGGGAATGGTTATCACGTGAGGGTGGAATCATTAGGTCTGTCATTAAGTCAAGTGGCGTGGTTTTGATTCCCCGCTTGAGCGTGACTAGGAGTTGAGTCGCCTGTCCAACATCGTGGATCTTCTCCGGGTTCATCGGGTTACTCCCACTGCTACAGACCCCATACGCGCAAGCGAAATATTAAAATAAAATTGAACAATATGTAAGTCCCGAAATGACCCAGTCTGTTGAGTGGTCGTTAACCCCCACCCCCTCTCTCTCTCTATCTCTCTCTCTCTCTCTGAAGCGAAAATAAGCACAGATAGATATATGCAATTATGCAATTATTTATTCATTTATTTCATTGCTGTTGGCTGCATTTATGAACCCCAGCAGTAACATCGGTAAATGCCATAGTAACGGATCCGGTTCGGACATCCTGTGTTGTTCCTGTAATATTTGCAATAACCGCCTCCTTTCTTTTGGACGACTTTACAATATTCATTACAGTAGTAACCGGAACCGTCCGGGCTTGAGCTATAGCCACCACACCATGCGTTACAACCACTGACGCTAGTGTAACAGGTTCGTTCATCGTCGTCATCTTCATCGGACGTGGAAGAAGACGAAGACGAAGAAGACGAAGACGAAGATGAGCATGTACATTGGTAAGCGTAACGTGTACGTACGCTGTTGGGACAACTCCTTGTACTCAACACACGTTTACAATAACCACCATCACGACGTTCAACTTGTCTGCAGTATTGGTTACAGTAGTAGCCAGTACCATCAGGCGATGCAGAATATCCACCACACCACGAATAACACCCACTTCGCCTACTGTAGCACGTTCGTTCATCTCTGTTAGCTACAGTTGTTGTGACCCTAGGTGCAGGGGTAGTAGTTGCTCGGTTGTTATAGCAGGTACATTGGTAGGCATACTGGGTACGCAGAGTGTTCGGGCAGCCAGAACTTCGGCGCAACCTACAGCTACCACCGTCTTGTTTCTGCACCTCTTTGCAATATTCATTACAGTAATAACCTGACCGCCCGGGGCTCACAGAATAACCTCCACACCATGAATTACAGCTGCTTCTTGAGAGATAACAAGTTCTTTCTTCTCTGGTCCTACTCGCCGAAACGTTGTAACAGCTGCATTGGTAGGCATAACTGGTGTATATTCTGTTTGGACAGCTTGACCGTCTCTGTAATCTACACGACCCTCTATCTGCGTGTTCTACTCTTCGACAATATTCGTCACAATGATAACCCAAACCATTGGTACTTTGTGCCTGTCCACCATACCAACTAAGACAAAGGGTCTTAAAGTAATAGCAAGTTTTTACATCATTCCTAGTACTAGGGGCAGACGTTGTAGTAGTGGTTCGTACGGACAAGGGTGTTCGTCTTATGATCCTGTAACATGTACATCGATAGGCGTAGCGGGAACGAATTGGATTTGGGCAATATCTACTCCTATGTAACAGACAATAGCCACCGTCTTTTTTCTCGACTACCCGACAATACTCATTACAGTAGTAACCGGAACCGTCTGGACTCACGGAATATCCTCCACACCAAGCGTTACAGCCAGACCTAGTGTTGTAACATGTCCTTTCATCTCTCGCGGGCGTAGTCGTTCTAAGTGTTGTTGTTGTTGTTGTTCTGGGTGTTGTTCTTGTACTGCCAGAACATACACATTGATATACAAAATCAGACGTAAGTCTATTGGGACAACTTATGGAATTCCGAATCTTTCGACACGAACCACTGACTTGGTTCTCTACTCTTCGACAATAATCGTTACAGTCATAGCCCAAACCATCCCGACTTTGAGCATATCCTCCACACCAAGCATCACATCCAGCCTTGTTTACGTAACATGTTTTCTCGTCGGGCCTGCTTGTAGTAGATATTTCGTCCGCAGTGGTCGATGTTTCTTCCGTAGTAGTTGGCGTTTCCTCCGTAGTGGTAATTTCTTCCGTAGTGGTTGGTGCTTCTTCTGTAGTAGTAATTTTTTCTGTGGTCGTTGGTGCAGTAGCCTCTGTGGTTGTTATTTCTTCTGTAGTGGATGCTGCAGAACAGATACATTGGTATAAAACACCATGAAAACTGATCGCATTGGGACAATAATCAGTGTTTGTAATCATTCCACACGAACCGCTGACCTGGTGCTCTACTCGTTTACAGTATTCTTTACAGGAAAAGCCTGAGCCATCGGTACTTTGAGCATACCCACCACGCCAAGCTTTGCAGTCCCCAATATTGCTATAACATGTCTTCTCGTCCGGCGGGTTTGTAGTGGTTGGCGCTTCCGTCGTGGTAGTTATGTCTTCCGTAGTACTTATGTCTTCCGTAGTAGGTATTTCTTCCGTAGTGGTTGGGATTTCTTCCGTAGTAGTGATTTCTTCTGTGGTCGATGGTGCAGTAGCCTCTGTGGTTGCTATTTCTTCTGTAGTGGATGCTGCAGAACAGATACATTGGAATAAAAAACCATGAAAACTGATCGCATTGGGACAATAACGGGTGCTTTCAATCTTTTCACACGAACCACTGACCTGGTGCTCTACTCGTTTACAATATTCGTTACAGGAAAAGCCTAAGCCATCGGTACTTTGAGCATACCCACCACGCCAAGCTTTGCAGTCCCCAAAGTTGCTATAACATGTCTTCTCGTCCGGCGGGTTTGTAGTGGTTGGCGCTTCCGTCGTGGTAGTTATGTCTTCCGTAGTAGTTATTTCTTCCGTAGTAGTTATGGTTGTGGTATCTTCCGTAGTAGTTGGCGTTCCTTCCGTAATAGTAATGTATTCCGTAGTGGTTGGGGTTTCTTCCGTAGTGGTGATTTCGTATGTGGTTGGGGTTTCTTCCGTAGTGGTGATTTCGTCTGTGGTCGGCGGTGCCTCAGCCTCCGTGGTTGTTATTTCTTCTGTGGTGGTCTCGGTAATGGTTGGCGTTGTACTGGCCTCAAAACAGGTACATTGGTAAGCGTCGGCTGAACTGACCGGGTTTGGGCAGTTCGCAGTCGTGGCATAATAGGTACATCTACCACTGTCTTTATTTTTAACAACTTTGCAGAATTCATTACAATAATAACCAAGGCCGTTAGGGCTGACGGTATAACCCCCACACCAGTCATCACAACCAGCTTCCGTTTCATAGCAAGTAAGTTCATCTTCCGGTAGAGGGGTAGGCGCAGGAGTATTGTCGTCGTGACATGTACATTGGTAGGCATCGAGGGAACGAACTTTATTTGGACAGGTCGCCGTTGTATTATAATAGTCACAACTACCGCCGTCTCTCTTCTCGACGGCTATACAGTATTCATTACAATAGTAGCCTAAACCGTTGCTGCTAACATCGTAACCTCCACACCATTTAGCACATTCAGCACTAGATGGGTAGCATGTTTTGTCGTCAAATGTAACTGGATTCGGTGCTGGGGGGTCATCATAGCACGTACACTGGTAGGCAGACCAACCACTTAAAGTGTTGGGACACTCGTTCTTGTTGTCAAGTTTCCTACACTCGCCGTGGTCTTTCAACTCCACCGCTTGGCAATATTGGTCACAATAATAACCAGTGCCATCCGGACTTTGTTTGTGCCCACCACACCAATTTAAGCTGCAATCACTTTCAGTACGGAAGCAAGTTTTTTCGTCCGGTATCGGTGCGTCATTGTTTTCACAAACACATTGAAAAGCAAAGTATTGTTTCACGCTGTTGGGACAACTCGATGTATTACTAACCAGTATACACCGGCCACCATCCTTGTATTCAATCGCTTGGCAATATTCGTTACAGTAATAACCAGTTCCGTCACTGCTTTGTGCTTTTCCACCACACCAAAGGTTGCAGTTGCCCTGATTGAGGTAGCAGGTCGGCACCTCCTTCGTACCGACTGCTAGTGACGCAAGCGACACCACCAAAAGGAAAATAATCATCTCTATTAATTTCGTTTATCTGAAAAACAAAAAAGAACATTGTTGTCAGTGGCGATTCGAACCCTCCTTTTCAAATTGTAACTGCAAGGCAGTGGTTGTGGGAATTTGCATCGAAAACTACCTTTTCTGTTTAGCACTTTTAGTTTGATGTTAATTGTGTTGTGGTCTTCGGGAGTTATGATGTAAGGGGAGGGGGTAGAGGGCTATATATACCATTCGTTCCAAGGACTGTCGTTCAGACGGCTAACATGGAGTACATACCCTATGAACACAAGTTCTTATTATTATTAAAGGTATTAGGATCCATGGTGTCCTGCTGGGTATGGAGTTGATATAATAACCAAGGTTCGGTTCCCGGTCAAGCTATCGGGCAAATGTGATTTCTATAAGGAATAGAAGGAAACGCCACTGTCATAGCTAGATACCCTCCAGCATAAACCGCTTCTTTAGTACTACCGGTATTGGGGTCCACAGTAGTATGGCGTGTATGGTGCTTGCATACTAATTAGGCTGTGCCGAGTTTTGCTCCGCAAAATGGTAGTTTGGCGGGTATGGTGCTTGCATACTAGCTACGTTGTCCCGCGTTCAGTTCCGGAAAATGGGCCGTTCCAGTGGAAGTGTGAGTTTGGAAAGGAGTAGATGGAAACTCCGCTTTCCTGAAAAGATCCAGCACCGGGGAACCGGTCCATTGGAGACGGGCATAGAATATGCTATCAGGGAAATTTGACAAGGAGTATACTGTCATGACAAGGTCTCCCTATCCAGTAAACCTATGCATGGTAACTAGGCGAATAGAAACTGATTAAATTATATTAATATAGTGCAACTTACCCAGAAATTCTGTATATGTTTAATAGTTACCAGGACTCCCGACAAGACAAATGTTAAAGAAATAAGAAATTGCTGAAAGTTATATAGCAATTTAAAAACATCATTAATCTTCACCTCCAGTAGGTGTTGACTCAACAACATGGTACCCAAGTCATTTAAATAATATAAACACGAAAACACAACCATCATGGTTGATTAACGAGGCTCATTATTCACACCACGTAAGGGGGATTGGGCAGTGGGCATTAACCCCAATTGATGCCTGACCTATTTTTTATTGGGGGGGGGGGAAGAGAAATAAGGGTTTAAAATCAACTCAACACAAACTAGGCAACTTTGGGATAACACGTGGTTCAATCTTATTTCAATAAATCTCTCTCTCTCTCTCTCTCAGTAAGTGAGTACAGCGTCTCGACAACTAACAACCCGGCCTTTATGAAATTAACATACGACTATTGTATATTATTGAACTTAACTTTCAATACAATATAAAAAATAACACAATAAGAACATTGCAGCCATGGTAAACACGTTCATCGGGATTTTCCGACGTGGTTTCCCCTTGTCAGTGGAGCAGGACGAAGGGCCTGACAATGACAGCTGTCTAGTCGTTGGAATGGAACGAAAAAGCAAGATCCCGTGTATACATTGGCGCACAGCGTCGGTTACACACCGGTTACATTGTTGGCGTGTACTATGTTATGGCTAGATTATTGAAAATGAAATGAAATGAAATGGATCCTTTATGTGCACGCCAATGTGTGCACGGAACTTAATAAATTACGCTCGTAAATGAAATGAAATGGAGTTTAACGTCCTACTTTTCTGCTCCTAACCTGGGCTAATGAAGACGGGCGTACGCCACACAGTGTGCTATGAGGGAAATTTTGCCCGGACAGCGGCACTACGGCCTACTCTTATATCGAATTCCAACTGTCAAGGGATCTTTTTCGCGCACGCCAATGTGTACTCGGGACCTCGGATTTTCGTCCCATCCGAAGGACTAGACAACTGTCCTTGTCAGGCTATCCATTCTGCATCACTGACAAGGTAGAACCACGCCGGAAAATCTTGATGAACTGGAAAGAGAGTGAGACATGGGGTTTAACGTCCACTCGACACAAACTAGGTCTTTTCGGGACTTAACACATGGTTCAATTTTATTTCAATCATTCGCTTGCGCGTAGGGGTCTTTAGCAGTGGGAGGAAGCCGGATCTTGATGAACTTTCTCGGCCAATGCAGTGATCAAACATCCGACCTCCAGGCTAGCGAGCCAGCGTCTTACCCGCTTAGCCACCGTGATACCCGGCGAGGTTTTTAAGGAAAGTATGCTAGTCGTATTTGATGGGCAATTCGTTTCGCCTGACTTTCAAAATAAGCATTCTCGAAAATTGAGTCTAAATAAAGAGTTCAGTTTAAACTCAACCAATACGTATTGACGGCTCTCGTTTATAACTCGTAGGATTTATAAGTTTCTATATTCATATGACAAAAGCATGTTATACGGTCAATTAATGCTATCGTTAAATAATGAGCTAAGCTGTTAAAGGTCGTGCCTCACCAGACTGATCAAACCTGCCAAATGCCAATGTTTATTGATCGATATCAAGTCAAAAAAAAAACAATGTGAATACATTAATACATGTATAGTCAAACCCATAAGGCTATTATTGACATTAATGTGTCCAAATCAAGAGGAGCCGCGGTGGCTCAGTGAGGCAAATCTTCGGCTCGCTAAATTGGAGGTCCCGTGTTCGATATAGGTGTTCATCGGGATATTTTTCCGGCGTGGTTCCACCTTGTCAGTGGCGCGGGACAGAGGACCCGACAAGGGACAACGTATATATAGTCAGTCGTTCGGATGGAACGAAATACCCAGGTCCCGTGTACCCATGGGGGTTTGTATGGCTGAATGGTTAGCTCGTGCGCGTTGTATCATAAAGTCTGTCATTGAGTCAACTCTCATGGTTTTGAATCTCCGGTTGTTGTACATGACAACGATTACGGTCGCCTGTCCAACCTCGTGGGTTATCTCCGTTTCCCCCCTCTGCTTAAGGCCCCCTACGCGTAAGCGAATTATTGAAATAAAATTGAACCGTATATGTTAGTTCCGAAATGACCTGGTTTGTGTCGAGTTGACGTTAATCTGTCTCTCTCTCTCTCTTCCGCGCTCTCTCTCTCTCTCTCTGTCTAACCGTATACACATTGGCGTGCACGTAAAAGAGAAGAACCCTTGGCTGTTTGAATTCGAAATAAGATTATGCCGTAGCGCCGGATTGATTCTTATCTGGACTTCCCCCAAGGGTCGGGTTTGCTCGGTACCCGGTTTTGTTCGATTCATGAAATGTAGGACTCAAGAGAAAAGGCGTGAATTTGGTTTTTGTTTTCATATGAAACCTATTTCACAACAGAGAAGAACTTATCACATTTCCTCACTTTAATTTGTATTGCATCACTATGCGTGGGGGCCTTTAGAAGATGTGATACAGTCTAGAATTACGAGCGTAATTTTTTCGATCCCTGCATTGGCCGAGAAAGTTCATCCAGATTTTCCGGCGTGGTTCTCCCTTGTCAGTGATGCAGGACGGAGGGGCTGACAAGGAAAGCTGTCTAGTCGTTCGGATGGGACGAAAAACCGAGGTCCCGTGTACACATTGCCGTGCACGTAAAAGATCCCTTGGCAGTTGGAATTCGATATAAGAGTAGGCCGTAGTGCCGCTGTCCGGGCAAAATTTCCCTCATAGCACACTGTGTGGCGTATGCCCGTCTTCATTAGCCCAGGTTAGGAGCAGAAAAGTAGGACGTTAAACTCCATTTCATTTCATTTACGAGCGTAATTTATTAAGTTCCGTGCACACATTGGCGTGCACATAAAGGATCCATTGGCAGTTGGAATTCGTTATGAATGAAAGATGTTGCGCGGATGCCCGGCCACACTGTTTTCATTAACTCAGTCGGGGTAGAACAGTATGACGTTAAACCCTATTTCATTTTATCTTATTGTCCCGTATTGAGAGTTTTCAACAACCTTACAGTTTATATATACTGTCAATCGATGAATCAGTGTGATGCTGTGATATAGGTAACATAATATGCAGTAATCTATTTCACAGAGGTATTACGAAAGTTTTCTAATAACTCTGTAAAAAATGACTGCTTTCAACACATGACATCATACCATGCAGCGTTAATCATTGGCTCTATGGCGTTCATTGTCTACATAAGGCGTTACTGGTCCGGGCAGAATGATGACTTTTAATCATTTTACATACCTACATGTATTTACATTAAATAGGACATAGTTCTCATCTACATATACTTCAAACACCCTTATTTAATTTTCTAATGTCGAATTTATTGCAGAAGGAAAAGAGTTTTGTTGGTTTATCAAGCCGCACCGATGTCATCCCTATCAATGATTGTAGCGATCAAGCGAATATTCACTGTTGATCAGTGTGAATATGTAGATTCAAAACAGGCATCATGTAAAACAAAACCCACAACTTTTCAAGCAGCTCATTAAAAGACAAACCCCACGCTCAACGCGTACGACTAGTTAGTTCAGACTGGAAGGCACATGGAGTACTTTATTTCATTGTGAATAAAGCCGTTGAAAATTTGAGAACATGTCCGTTAATGTGAAAATTAAAGGAATTGTAACGCTCTACGTTTAATGTTTTAACATCACACGTTGAAAGGGGTTAAATCACTGACTAAGTAGGTTAGGCGCTGGCTCGCTAGACAGGAGGTCGCATGTACGATCCCGGTGTTAGAGTGCACGTAAAAGATCCCTTGGCAGTTGCCATTCGATATAAGAGTAGGCCCTAGCGCCGGGATCGAATCTGGGATCTTCCAGTAAGTCAGTGAGTCCGCATCTCACTCACTGAGCCAATATGGCTGCCTCTTTAATATGACAGTTGACCAGCGGGATCGAACCAGTGACCTCATGGCTACTGAGGGGAGGTTACTCACTGTGCATACCGTGGTCCCACTTTAATATGACCCGTGACAGATAAAATGAATAATGGTGGGTTATAATATAAACATGTGTCATTAATTATTCTGAGCGAGAAAATTGAAATGTAAACAGTTATACATGACGTCGACTAGCCTCGGTTATATTGTTCTATCTGACGTGTCTTTGTGGCATCAAACATGGGAATGTGACTTGAATAGGCTATTAATAATGTGTTTTCGTAAACATATAAATAATATGTCATTTTCCCAAAAGAGAAAGACAGGCTTAGAATTATTTCACCCAAAAACATAGGGTCGGTAGAATTGTTTTTTGCTAAAAAAAAAAAAAATAATATTTATTTTTGGGTTGGGTTAAGACAGAGCCGACGAGAATAGTAAATAATCTTCACCCCTCTTGATACTATATTAAATTTTGTTTGGTCCGCCGATTATCAATTATCAGGTTCGAATCCGTGTAAAACACCCCGTGGTTTCCGCTGAACTTCGCCTAGTCCGGTCAAAGCTGTCCACACGAAGAGGAGAAAAAGATGGAAATGCTAGTGAGGAGTAGGTCATTTGTACTGAACTATCAAATGCGATATTTTCTGGGTAAATCTAAATTGATAATAAAAATATGTTTTATTCGGCATTTATTGTATATTTTTTTTTAAAAAAAACGATTATTGTTTCCAACAGAAATTATGCGAATCATCTCCAGTAAGTCCGCTACCTAAACCTATGGTACACATCACACGTGTATCTACATGCAAGCAGTAACCTTTGCCTTTGGTAAAACGACGAATCCAAAAGTATGTCCTTCCAGTTTAATATCGTTCCTATGCTTTAGGCGGCGAACTGGGGGTAGCTCCTGATTAGAATCGAAAAATAGTTCATGGCCATTCATTTTTACAGTTCTACGAAAATAGAAAAGAACGGAACGAAATAAGAAAAATAAAACAAATTCGACGAGCCCAGTGGTGTAGAGTGACATTTATGAACGGCGAATGCAAGTCAAGACAACGAAAATGGCCCGAAATGAAATATTCAACTTCGTCAATGTCTTGGGAATGTTCCAAAGAATGCCAATGTCAAGTTTCATTCAGCTCCATTGACAAACAGCCGAGCAATAAACATGCTGTCTACAGGAGAAGATAACGGGAGCGTCGTTTG